ATTTGAATGTGGAAATTTTACCCAAGGGAACATACACAATATAAATCTATATAATATAAAAAGCAATATTTGTCCTTATCTAGATTTGGATATTTCAGTTTCACATAGGAAACTCTTTACATTAAATTTAACGGCAAGAGAGACGATTTTCATTTCCTATTGTGTCTTTTCCTTTTTCGGACGGTGATGTTCATTTTCCCCTTCTTCCGGTGTGTATACTAGTATTTCCCAATTCGTTCGCTTTGCACGTGTCTGTAGAGACGTTTTACATTTTAATCAACGCACTATTTGTATATCTGGCAATCTGTTACAATAAGTCATGGATTTCGTTACTTTAAATTACCTAAGACCTTTACTAAATTCTTTCATAGACACAAAGATTTAATTTGAACATTTAGCTGTACATGTAGAGACCTTAATTAGCTGTGCCTGTAGAGAACTTAAAGGGCTTTACCTGTGGAGATATTAATTGGATGCACCTGTAGAGACCTTCATTGGCTGAACCTGTAGAAATATTACAAACGGCATATCACATCCTAGTTTTAACGAAAAAGTTGTTTACTCAGGTTATAGGACTAGTTTAATCTGGCGACCTTGTCTTGATCTAGAGTTATATATTCGTGTTTACATAATGTCACCCAGAAATATTTACAAATGTCTTTGAGTATATTAAAAAAGAGGTTATTTCTAAGTTATTGCGACTGATCTAAATATGAGAAATACCAGATTATTGAAAAGTACACATACACGTCACTTCTTACCATTCCTTTTCATTCAATTTTAATTTTTGATTTCTTAATGTTTAATATTGAAAGAAAAAAATGCATGCTATAAAAAATTCAAGAAAGAGGCGAAAGATACCAAATAATACCACAACCAATAAATCAAAGACAAACTGACAACGACATGGCAAAACGACCAAAAGACAAACAACAGTCTATAAAACACAACAAAGAAAACTAAGCAACTGAGCAATATGAACCCCACCTAAAACCGGATGGTGCTCCAGAAGAGTAAGCAGATCCTGCTCCACATGTAACACCCGTCATGTTGCTCATGGAAATACACATTCGGTGATAAGTCTAATTCGATGGTATAATAGCTCCGTTGTATGCTGCAACAATTTTTTTAGGAAATCACGGTGTCCCAGAGCTTGCATTTCCAATCATATCAACTGGGAGATATGTACTCACTATGCCGGAGCTGCTAGAATGTTACTACATAGAAATGGAAAGTTCCAAAATTGGGAAGCTGAAATGATATCTTTTTTTTTCAACCGACCCTCATTGTCAATTTTTAAATGTGAATCAAGATGTGAGGCTGACTCAACTGTATCATCCTGTTGTGTCCTTATTTCATAGATAAATTGTAATTGTAAACGAACTTTGAATTATTTAGTGAAAGGACATCATCTGTATAGCGATCATCTGTATAGCGAAACGTGAATTTAAGGGATAATTCTAGCTTCTTTTCATTCTTCATAAGACGCTCATGTATCTAGTGTGACTCATGTGAATGAAGGAACAAGTAGGCGTGAAGAGGAGCACAATATTGGTTTCCATGGGAATGCCGATTGTTTGTTGAAAAGCACGTTCTGCAAACGTAACAAATATTTTATCAATCAAGAAATCAGGCATCTTAATAATGTCAGTTTCAGATAATTTTTGTTTGAATCGGAGAATATTTGTTTTTACAAAGTATGATTTATCTCTCCCTGAAACAAAATATTTGTATCTACGTTGATCATTATTTTTATGACACAAAGCAGAACCAATTCTCTCAAATTAGTCGTTTAGTTTGGAATGGGGATTACTTGTGTAAAGAGTAAAACAGTTAAATGGTTTATACTATTGCAAGAGGAAAGAGACTTAGATTCAATGTACTAAAACAGATCTTCGGATTTTTTAGTAGCACCGCGCTTAGAGTAGGTAGTTTCACAATAAACCTGACACCCAGCTTTAATTGATTGCTGATAAAATTGTTATCAATAGTTAAGAAAGAGGTTTCGTGAAGCACTTATAAGACCCAGCAATATAACGTTGTATGTATGGACACTTATGCAATTTAGGTATCCTTTACAGTAAAGGAGGAACAAGTTGATTGTCTTTGGTAGAAATTCCAAAGGAACATAAACCGAGTTCTAAATCTAACGAATGCCAAACCATATCGATGGTTGCACTTACTGAATGTAAGCTCTGGGTACTTCACCTACTAATTAAAGAATTGTTCTACCCTGTACAATATGCACGCGAAATCTTTGAATCAATCATTTATCAATGATTTGAATAATCTTGGCAAAAAAGACCACAAGACAGCTACAGTAGTCGCATATTCACCCAATGTTGCAAGTATTGGATCTAGAAATACTAGTATATTATTTATAAGGAGAATACTTTCCATTTAGATTTAATTGTGTCTTATCCGTTTTGCTTTGTTTTTTGCAAATAAAATATGTTTACACTAACATGGCCTCTAGTATAACGTTTTATTCATAGACTGTGAAAGATTTAAAAATTTATTGTAAGGAGTTTACAACAATTTGGTTATATTATTAGTGGAATGTATAATGTCTAGACAGCCACAAGAAATCTATGTTACTAACTTCACGATTCAATTTAAAAGACAGTGTCGCTTACCTAAGCAAATACAAGATTAGTTATGTTCACCGTACTGTGCAATGCATTCTGTTTTGCTGTGAAAAGAATAATTCAATAATTTCACTTAAAAGACATACTGTATAATGTATGACTATTCACACATACAGAAATGTGATTGAAAAGATGGTATTCTTTCAAAAGAAATAATGAAAGCGGCAGCAGATGTTTTATTATAAACAGTTTTGTACGGTACCATCTGTCAAGATTCAATTATATTATTCATTTGTTATTATTATTTTTCATTCATATATTGTAACCACTTTCTGTTGAGTCATGTTTTTATGAAATTGCAACATTGCGCAATAGAATAAAAGCAAAAACAATATATCTTAGAGCAAATAACTATTTTATTTTGACGACAAACCGTGCAAATATCAGTATTGTTTAAGATCCATTAAAAATGTTATTACAAAAGAAATGTTTTAAGCTACAGGATGGTGTTATACATCACATGACACAACACTTATCATATTTAAAACAAAACAAAAAGTTTTGGATTAATAGACTATTTGACAAATATTATAAATTTACGGTTGTTGCTTGATCATTGCATCTAGTGGTTTTGTGGGATCATAATAAATTTGCGTATTTGACGAAATGTTTTTTTTTTTTATTTTTCTGCATTAAAATTCTGTAGATTTACTCAGGAAATTTTTTTTGGGGGGGGTCGTTGGTTTCCGTCTCATTGAGATATACCCCCATGTACTTTTATTCCTATTTGACATTTAATTTAATTCACAATTGTAATTTAGTGTTCCAGATAAAGGTATGAGCAAATACAGGTGTTATAAATTTGGTTTGGTTGCGTATATTTAAAATTATTCCTACTTTTAATAATAATTTCAAACCATCAGTAAGATTTGTTAGATATTTATTATTTTTTATTTTTTAGAACAAAAGAAAGTTTTCGTTTGTCGGGCGATTTGTGCGATTCACAGCCATATTCAACACTTAAAGATTCAATACTTGATACTTTTGGTGAAAATGCGACTACTGTAGCTATCGTTTGATGTATTTTGTCTAGATTATTTAAATCACAAATGGATTATTCATTTCAAAATTGCGCATGAATATGCTACAGGATAGAACGTTTTTATTTGTAAAGCATAGGTTAAGTATCGTTCTTCTTCTTCCAATAATTTGCATACCACCTCGTTAGCTTGCTTTCAGTAAGTGAAAGCATCGCATGATACGATATGGTTAATTTATAACAATAAGGAGATGTGTTATGACTGCCAAAAAGACAACTATATTGCGTCTTTTGTTTTCTGACGTTGTTTATTTTACGTGTTTTTTTTCTGAATTGTTCTTCTATATACATTTTTGATCAACTAATCGAGATTAAACCGGGAAGGTTTAGTGTTTAAAAAGTAAAATACCACCAAAAGTTAATATGCCTGAATTAGGGTGTAGATGGCAAATTTTTGTCAGTTTCTCTTAATTGTATTCACAGCCTTTCCACCATTTTCTACATAAGGAAATGCCTGCACCAATTCAGGTATATGACAGTTGTTTTCCATTCGTTTGATGTGTTTGAGTTTTTGATTTTGCCATTTGATAAAGGACTTTCTGTTTTGAATTTTCCTTGGAGTTCGGTGTTTTTGTTATTTTACTTTTTCCCAGAATCAGCGCGACTAAGCGCTTTACATATAATGTATAGACACTTGAATTTGTGGATACACTGCAAATCACCTCTTCTCTTGTTTTCACTGAAATAAATTTCAGCAAAACTTCGCCTGAAGGATTCATGGGAAAGATAGTATAAAATTTCTCATTTTTCCCCGCCCTGGGTAAAACTGTTAGCAATTGTCTAATAAATTAAAAATCATCTGTTCATTATATTGATAGAGAAATTATGACGAGGGTAAGAAAATGCTCAGAATATCAAGATAAACCTACTTTCTATTTCCACCAAAAATTATCAGAAGACTCTTTATAAGGATCATTTCCTTCAAATGACGATCTTTGACCAATTGTTCCATTCCCACTCATAATTTTGAAAAATATTATACACAGACATTTACAACTACAATGTATGCCAAATGACTATAGCTATCAATCTAAACCTATAGATCTAATAGAAATAATTTGCTTAAAATGACAATTTAATCCAATTTTAGCCTTTTACCTTGAAAACTGATAGATGGACAGAAACTGTAAACAGCAGAAATAATCACCATGACAAGACATACGTTTTGTACAACTCTACCACATGACAGAAACATTGACTTTTGATAATCTGTAAAAAGAAAAAAGAGGAGGAGGCGATATATAGGGGCAATCAATAACCATAAGTCGAAGACCAACACATTCAACAACAGCGACGAAATAAAACGAAGAGAATGCAATGCAAACATTTATTAATAACAATTCAATATGGAAAGTACTATAATATATCGTTCAGATTATCGATTATTTTCGCAGCTTTTTCTTGTACCACTCCAGATGCTGAAAAAGAAAAAAATGTATATTTTATTACCTTTCTAAAAGAAAAAAAAACATGTAAATTCGGGTCAATTATATTATGTTAAATAAGGCCCCTCGTACAAAATATGCAATTAATTTGCCATTGGACGTTTAACAGTCATCCATCATCATCAATATATAAGGCCCCAATATGGTCTCTAATTTTCAAATTAGTATTAAATGGCCATTTTCAAACTGTATTAAAGCTTTAACAATGACAAGACAGGAAATTTTTTTTCAAAATGTTACGCATCAGCGTTCTTTTTATGACGTCATGATGGCAAGTTTTAATAGGTTTTTGCGACTTGAAACATATTGCACATGCGGAGAAATTTTTTTTTTACATTATGTTTGCTATAACAAATAAATTAGATAAATATATAGTTTGTTGAACCCTGTGCCCTATGTTTGTCAGCCCAGGCTGTGCTGAAATCCAAAAGATTTGGTCAATTTTCACAAAAAATCTCTATTTCAAATTTACTAGTGGTGTAACTGACTAAGCTTCGTAAGTAAAATTCAACAAAAAAACCTGTTTTACTTTCTCACACATATATGCATCAACATCTTGAAATAATGGACTCAATATTCAGTTTGGACCAAAAAAGGCCTTACCGGACCTAACCCGGCTTTATAAAGCGTTAGTTTCATATTCATTAAAATTATATACAAGCAAGAATGATATTACAGGAGGTAAGCTGATTTTATATCACCAAAACATCCCAATGTTGGTATAGAATATGTTTTCTACCTTACTAGCTTACAATATATGCAATATATCTTGCACAAGCCAAAACTATATTTCATTTTGGAAATAAATGTCACAAAATTTACGTATATTACTGTTCTTTTTATGTTACGAAATTTCATCTTTGGCTTTGTTGGAGACAATAAAAAAAACAAACAAAAACAACAACGAAATAACAACAACAACAAATAACAAAAACAATAAAATAAGTTAGGCATTATTTAGTATTTACGATTGTCCTTAGTTTTATCAAATTTGTTTAAATATCTAAATTCAGATTATGTTGGATAGATATAACTTTTTGCTGCAACAATTCCTGAAAATACTTCGAACTTACCACCAAACAAATGTTATGTCTTATATTGAGAATTAACACTACTAGGTTTTTTTCTGAATATTGCTGCGTGTTTGCTCTTTCCTTTTCAAATGAAGAATGTTTTATTTGGAAATTGTTTGGTTTATTGGAGGAAACTCCTTTCGACATATACTATCTTGATTAAATTTGTTTTCTAAACACGAGTCACTAAAGACCTGGATGAACATTTGCGCTCTTCGGAAACAATCAGTTCTGGCTCCACTAGAGGCACCCGTCCATGGTATCCTGTTAAAGTTATTGCTGATTCGAATAGTGTATACCTTAGCTGTTTAGTAGTTATCTACTGTCTACATCTAAGTTTATAATTTCGTTCTCAACAGGTAGTTGTCTCCTGTCTAACCCTAAGATGATCATTTCGTTGTAAACAGGTAGTTGTCTCCTGTCTAACCCTAAGATGATCATTTCGTTCTAAACAGGTAGTTGTCTCCTGTCTAACCCTAAGATGATAATTTCGTTCTAAATAGGTAGTTGTCTCCTGTCTAACCCTAAGATGAACATTTCGTTCTAAACAGGAAGTTGTCTCCTGTCTAACCCTAAAATGATCATTTCGTTCTAAACAGGTAGTTGTCTCCTGTCTAACCCTAAGATGATCATTTCGTTGTAAACAGGTAGTTGTCTCCTGTCTAACCCTAAGATGATCATTTCGTTGTAAACAGGTAGTTGTCTCCTGTCTAACCCTAAAATGATCATTTCGTTGTAAACAGGTAGTTGTCTCCTGTCTAACCCTAAGATGATCATTTCGTTCTCAACAGGTAGTTGTCTCCTGTCTAACCCTAAGATGATCATTTCGTTCTAAACAGGTAGTTGTCTCCTGTCTAACCCTAAGATGATCATTTCGTTCTAAATAGGTAGTTGTCTCCTGTCTAACCCTAAGATGAACATTTCGTTCTAAACAGGAAGTTGTCTCCTGTCTAACCCTAAAATGATCATTTCGTTCTAAACAGGTAGTTGTCTCCGGTCTAACCCTAAGATGATCATTTCGTTGTTAACAGGAAGTTGTCTCCTGTCTAATCCTAAGATGATCATTTCGTTGTAAACAGGTAGTTTTTTCCTGTCTAACCCTAAGATGATCTTTTCGTTGTAAACAGGTAGTTGTCTCCTGTCTAAACCTAAGATGATCATTTCGTTCTAAACTTGTAGCTTTCGCCTATCTAACCCTTAGCTGATCATTTGGTTCTGAACAGGTAGTTGTCTCCTGTCTAACCATAAGATTATCATCTCTTCTTAACAAAGGAGGTAAATAATATTCAGTTCTATTTTGTCTTTGGTAAAGCTTGCATACTGTATTCATGTAAATATATCAGAAAAGTATTATTTGTTTTATCGGATTGTCATCATATTATATGTGAATTTGTATTCAATATTACCTGTTATTAAACAAGCATCACATTTACAGGACCCAGGTTTTATAACAGGAATGTAAGCCTTTATCGGTCCAGCTGGGTCAACACAGACAATATCCAAAATCTGGAATCTTTCAGTTGTTCCTGAACAACATTTGCATTGTTTGTTAAAGGAAATTGAAGTATCTATTCCCTCTAGTACAAGAAGGGGCGCCATAAAACTGGTTCCACATCCACCAGAACAGTATGATATTTCTATACTTCCATTTGTACGACAAAGGCTGGATCCAATGCCATATTCAAGAACCTTACGTTCAGTAACCATTTTACATGTAGCTGTAAATAAAGATATCAATATCTATAATCTTTATATGAGCACCATGTGGTTTTTTTATATGAACACCGTGTGTTGTTTTTTTTATATGAACACCATGTTTTGTTTTTATATGAACAAAAGGTGTCGGGTTTTTAATATGAACACCATGTTGTTTTTTTTGTATGACCACCATGTTTTGATTTTATATGCCCACTATGTGTTGTTTTTATATGACCACCATGTGTTGTTTTTATATGACCACCATGTGTTGTTTTTATATGACCACCATGTGTTGTTTTTATATGCCCATTATGTGTTGTTTTTATATGACCACTAGCGTTGTTTTTATATGACCACCATGTGTTGTTTTATATGACCACCATGTGTTGTTTTTATATGACCACTATGTGTTGTTTTTATATGACCACCATGTTTTGATTATATATGACCACCATGTGTTGTTTTTATATGACCACCATGTGTTGTTTTTATATGACCACCATGTGTTGTTTTTATATGACCACCATGTGTTGTTTTTATATGACCACCATGTATTGTTTTTCAATCATGTCACATTTCCTTATTTTCTCATACTGGCACGGCAGTTGCATGTTCGGGTCAAATTTCACACATCAACTAGAACATGATTTAATGAGCAAGATCTCCCTCCATCATTTACGACTACTTTTACGATAGTATAATGAGAAAAAATCACATAATTCACTTTATGTTTTTATATACTTACTCTGCTCTGGAATACATGATCGACAACAAGCATCGTCTGTTTCGTAATCAAGTACTTCGCCCTAGAAATGGACAAGTTTATTGATCATTCGGGTATATATCAAACAAATTTTAAGTTCAGAAAATGGTGGCTTTATTTATGAACATTGGTAAACTACTGTTGCCAAATTTTATTGAAAAACATGCAAGCTTCATTTGTGGATCAATTTTTGTGTTGTTTGTTCTTTTTCCAAAGACTGGTTATGCAAGCATGCACATAATTACTTTTAAACACGATAGGTTTAAGGAACTTATCATATAATTTGCAATCCACAATTCTAAGTTTATCCTCATTAAAATCATAGCTTACAACATTAATCTCAATATCAACTCTTATTAGTTCATTGCATCATTCCAACATTTATTGATATTCCTCAACACTAGAATTTTCTGTCTATCCAAAGTATAGAAAATGTTACCGACTCTTTACATATAAAAGCATTTAAACAAGGGAAGGGACATTAATATTGAAATCTTTTGAAATTCAAATGTTCAAATAATAGAATGACTTTTTTACTGTGGATTTCCGATACAAGGAATCCAAAGGGTTGATTGGGGTATTGAATGGTAATCCCTGGACTTCTCCCGCTCCAGAAAAAGCGGGCGTACATTAAGCCAATTAGCTGTGCAGGATATTTAAATAATTTAGTCGGAATAGGGACGTTAAATCTGATGCATCGTGAAGGGAAAGTGCCACGCTCTCTGCACGTTAAAGAACTCTTGCAACAACATTCTGATGACCTCGTATGTGGTCTGGTGTCAGGTAAAATTTCTGCTCCTATCCAGCATAACCTTATTTTCAATGGCAGTCCAAATATCTCACCCTTTCAACAAGTATGTCTTCCTTGCAGAACTTCTTGTTGTATAAATTGTTAATTTGTTCTCGTTCTGAATATGCATGAAATCATTGCCACTGGACGTTAAACAAATAACAATCAATCAATCAATCCGATTCAAGGTAAATATTGTGCTATAGGTATTTTCCCAAAAAATATAGATAAATATAGTGACAAAATCAATGAAAAACAGACAGACGGATAGCTAGCTCGAGCGATTTGCTATATTCTCCCCAACATGCTATATCCCCTCGTGGTACGGGAGGGGGGGGTACCAAAATATGATATAGAATCTGACTTGGAATATTGAACTTTCCACTCTCTCTGAAGAATGTAATTTAAGTCCAATTAATCAAAGCACATAGAGCTAATACATACAGAATATTTTCCAGAACGTTCACTCACAAATCTAAGACCATATAAATTACAAATAGGATTAATGAATTAATTTTTCTAAAAATGAAAAAAAAAAAAACATATACTGGTTCAACGATTTCTAAAAAGTACATTAAATGTACATACCGATAGACATTCATCGTTCAACAATTTGTAAAAAGTACATTTACTGTACATACCGATAGACATTCATCGTTCAACGATTTGTGAAAAGTACATTTACTATACATACCGGTAGACATTCAGTAGGTTCATTACACTGTCTCGTACATTTTACTTCACCATTTATACATTCGCAAATTTCACACCGATCCTCAGAGTTTATGAAATCAGCCGGCTGAAATATAAACGAAAAATATATTAAGCATGACCTAGCCTATTATGGTACTACTCTACTGTAGAGTCATTCCAGACTACAACAAAGAAAACAATAAAAATCATTAGTTGAAGGAAGAAAGACAACAACATGGCAAAAAGAAAAATGACGAACTTTATTTGTACTCTTGTAATTTGTGTAATTGTTGGCTGATTGCAGGATAAACAAATTTATCTGACTTTCTTTTATTGATATCAAACCACAAAAGTAATTTTATCTGTATTGTAGTTTTATTTAATTTTAATGATACATCAACCCAACACAATAAACCAAACATACCATATAATCCACGCCATTGTACCGACATTTAGCACACTCCTCAAATGTTACACATTCACGTAATTCATTCCTAAAATAACCTTCTCCACATATACAGCCTTCGTGATCACAATCAGCACTAATTTCTACAGGACTTGTTATGTTGGCACAATACTTTTCAACACATGTAGAATATACACTCCACATTTCATTTTCCTTGTCACATACTAAAACGTTAATAAGAAAACGTGGATGATTAAATGAGAATGTAATATAATACAAATGTTGATTCCTGTTAATAATATCACTCTAATGGTTGTGGTCTGTTATCCGTTTCATGAATGAAGAGATATTTCTAGTATCACTGCACGGAGTGTGATACAAAAGTGATATGAAAAATGCGTTTACTTGATTGGCTTATCCAGCATCATGAGACGATATTACGACATTCCAATTTCAGTGGCGGATCCAGAGGGAGCGTAGAGAGCGTACGCCCCCCTTTACTTGCACTTTTTTTTTCTTTAATTAAGACTGTAAAATGATTAATCAGACTATATTTCGTTAACTTTGCCATTTCCCGTATATTTAATTTGTATGCGACAATTCGTTACTTATAAAGATATTATTCGCTCGTATTTCCGTCATTTCCGTTATAAGGGCATTGGCTTTGATTCCAAGCATCAGACATCAGATGATACTATCGAAGACATTGTCGGTTACTACGAAGTTGACATGCCATATCCTGACTCTTTTAGACAGGAGTTTCGACTCTGGAACGAGTTATGGCGAGACCAGACCGACAGACCGTCTACAATAACGTCTACCATAACAGACCCAAGAGTGTGTAGCACGATTTTTCCAAACATCGTTAAAGTTCTGAGCTCACTTTCATTGACCAGCGTAACATCCAGTTCTACAGAAAGGGCAAACTCGTCGTTAAAGTATATTAAAACCTTCTCGCGCAGTACAATGGGAGAAGAACGCTTAAATGCCCTGTTACTTTTGTATGTCCATAAAAACATTGAACTTGACCATGAAAAATCATTGACGATTTTTCGACAAAATCCGAGGAAGATGCTTCTGGTGAACCCTATGGCTTAGAAGACAGATTTGTACAGAAGTCATCACTAGAAACTCTCAATAAATGTTTTTGTGGATTTATTTTTTATTGATAAGTGAATAAAGTAAAACATCAATTATATTAGTATGTATGATCAAATGCATCTGGGGTGCGAATCACAAATTCGCAATGCATTCTTCAGATGCTAGTTGTGACCTCTATTTCAGTGACTGACTTGGCTTGGGCGAATTTTTTCATGTCCATTTTTTACTGACAAATCCCACATCAAATATATATTGGTACATAGCTTTGGGTCCATCCAATCATTTTATAATAGACAATTAATGGGGAGAATACGGCATCAAAAATGTCCAACCCTTACACTTTCACTATGAAATATACATGCCCCATGTCAGGAACCGTTAAATTAGTGCATTTTACACTTATTTTATGTTTTTTAGCCAAAAAAAGGTCCAAAAATTTGTTCGCCTGGCTCCGCTCGGCAAAAGACTCAATTCTATGCATCCCCCCTTTGAAAAATCCTGGATCCGCCCCTCAATTTGCTATTCGTAAGGTCATTGTTGACTTGCAAAGGTTAAGACGATGTTCATTTCATCCATGGCATCGGACATATGTGATTTCTCCGATAATAAACAAAACACTCACACTTTTCACCTTTAAATCTTCTTTTTGTCAAATTTTATTACATTCGCCGAAGGCTCGTTTATTATCATAAATTGAAATTAAATAACTCAGTTGATATCATGCGATATCCAATTCTCACTCATTATGAAACCTATAACTATCTGAGAACTGTATTTATCATACATTTAGAGCAAATAACTTATAATTTTTACAGTATGATAATAGCATTAAATTTACGTAAATTCCATATCTTCGCGGGCTGACATGAAAACTTTTATTAACTGCTTCCGGTTATTATCGCATGCCTATCCGCAACGTTATCGCATGGCAATTCGTCGTCACTCGGCAAAATCCGGAAAATACACCTCAATGGTACGTTTTCAGTGGAAAACATAACGAAGTAGGATAGAAAAAAAACAAATATTAGGAAACAGGAAAATATATTTTGAGTGTTAGTATTGAAAAACAAATGATACAATAAAATGCATTTTTTTCAAAGTTTTAAAAATAGTTCTTGTATGTATTTTTTCTGCTGAAGTATAGGATAAAAAGATTTGAACTTCTACTTGAGAACCACCTAAAAGGATCAATATCTTAAACTGTTATTTTTCTCCATTGTTGAAGCATATGATAAAAAGATCACAACATGTCATTTTTCATATCAGATGTATTATCAGTCCTTGGTCAATATCAGCCCTCGAGCCTTCGATATTGTACCTTGGGCTGATAATACATCTGATATGAAAAATGCCATGTATTAATCAGATATTATCATATACTTTGAGCAAATAACTTATAAATTTTACAGTATGATAATAGCATTAAATTTACGTGAATTCCGTATTTTCCGAAATAGTGTTAAGAGGGCTGATATGAAAAATTTATCACATACTTCCGACTATTATCACATGCCTTTCCGTAACGTTATCGCATGGCATTCCGGAGTTACTCGGCAAATGTCTGCGACTGCTTTACTTAGAATGCAATACATCTCGTGCATTCGTATCTGCCGTCGTTTATACGGACGGTCTTCGACGTTTCATTGTCACCAAGAAATAATTGGTAAAATTTCATTACCCACCCATTATTACTTCCATTTAGTCCTTAAAATTAATCCTACTATCTATGTACTGTTTTTCTAAAGTATTCCAAGATTCTGTTAAATAAAACGTAATTCTAGGATTGGGAAAAATAAATAAATACGCTCTGTTCAAAACACGAAAAGAACAATATAAAATACGAGGGAAATGGGTTTCATGTTTAATTATGTTGATATGATGTCGATTATTTGTATTGAAATGAAGGGAAAAAAAACAAACAGCTTGATTCAGTCAAGGAGGGGAAAAAGAAAAGAAAATGCAAAATTACCTTCAATGTACGGGTTTTAAAGCAAATGACGAGGGCCGGTTTTTCGATCTGTATATTTTCGTTTTGATAACACATTTTTGTTTTGATAACACTTGACACATTTGTGTTAATGATGAAAAAAGGACAAAGAAATTAGCTTTGGATATATATTTACCACATGATGGAAGATGGCATTGTTCATAAATTGTATCGCGGTCAGCACAATCCTCACTACCACTTTGTAAAGTGCCCTGTAATTCTCTTACACCACTGCCACAGTCTTCTCCATTATTACTGTAACATTGATCAGCCGGGACATAGTTATAGATACATTCACCTACAATTAAAAAGAAAAGTACAAAACGCTGATAGTTTTAGTTATCTTGGTGTAATCAGAGTTGTACGGAATTTTACACACGCGGGTGAAGTTTTATCTATAATGAGTTTATTTATTCATTTCTAGACGGTGTGTAAAATTGAAAAAAAATTATTATGAAGAAATTCTACTGAACATTTTTTTCAACATCGATGTTGCTGTGATTTGTCAAATATTACCTTTTTTGATTTTTCAAGTTTTAGGACTTTTGGCAAAATTTGATTTTTTGGGGGGATTTTGGCAAATTTTTTTCTTTGTTTTTTAGATATGGGCAAACTTTTGTTTTTGCTATTTTTGCATTTTTTGGGGAATTTTGGTTAAATTTTATACCACAGAGTAAATAGTTTAGCCGGATGTAATTAACATCCATGTAATTAACCAATTAGATTCAAGATTTTAGCTTCAAAGAAATGAATTCTTTTATTGTTTCAATGGTACATATAGTTTGGGGTCTAAATATTGTGGCAGTTGTCTTGAAGCTAAGATGATCGGTTTGAATTTTTTAATAGTCCTATAACTATGGAAGGTGGTGCGTGGCTGGAAACTTTGCTACCACAATGCAAACCCAATCTACATAAAGAAAACAGAAACATTGTCTGTTTCTAGTCACAGACAAAAAAGAGTGGCACATAAAAAGGGATTTACGAAAATAAATATGTGTATACATGTACATGTAGTGTTAACATGTTATGCTTTTATTCATTTTGACAACAGCGCGATAGACATATTGTATAAAAACTTACAATTAGTAAAGCTACATTCACGAGTGTCAACCAGTTCAACACCAGGACAACTTGTTGAATTAAACGGCATAACAAACTGGCGAGTCCGTATTTGATTTTCACCATTACTGCAACTTGTTGGGCATTCTGTCCAATCGCTCCAATCATTTGTTGTACAACCTAGAGTAGATATTCTACCATGTTCATGGGATGCATATTTTATCGCGATATCATGTCCCTTATTCTCCTACGATTGTCTAAACATAACATGCCAGACTTGTGGTAACATATCTTTTATCGCGATATCATGTCCCTTATTCTTCTACGATTGTCTAAACATAACAAGACAGACTTGTGGTAACATATCTTTTATCGCGATATCATGTCCCTTATTCTCCTACGATTGTCTAAACATAACATGACAGACTTGTGGTAACATATCTTTTATCGCGATATCATGTCCCTTATTCTTCTACGATTGTCTAAACATAACATGTAAGACTTGTGGTACATTAATTTAATGTTGGAAAGTCTAGATAAAATCCCGATAAGTCGTCAAAATACTTGATTTATGTTAACTTATCGAGATAAATTATGTCAACTCAGATTTATCTCGATGGCAGAAATAGGCCACCATAGAAAACAAGTTACCAAAGTAAGAACATAGTAAGAAAAATTATTAATGTCTTAATTTTGTACTGAAGTATTTTTCTTTGATTTCCATACAAAACTAATTTAAACACGACATTGAGAGCGCAGGTAAAAGGTTCTATTTAAAATATAACATCTTTGGTTAAGATGTTTTTTCTACTTGAACGGTTAATTCAAGAAAAAAATAATACTAATGAAATTGAAGTTAGTTTACAATTCAAGACTTGAACTTGAAATCCCCAGCCGAAAAATAATTCTCAATTTATTTGATTATACAAATCATCAATTTCCATCCAAAAACTCCATCAGTTAATTTCGTGTATATCTTGAAACTTAAAAAGTATTTTAAAATTGAAGCAAAACAAATAATATAAAGATTGGAATTAATAACTTACTGTAAAATATTGGGAACAAATCTTACAAAACAAATAAAAAAAATCAGTCTATTCAGGTTTTGAGGGAGGAAAGGATCGTTACATAACACTTTCAAGGTTATATATATATGGTACACGTTTTAAAAGACTTCATCCCGTTGATTTTTTTTTGTTTCAAAGACTAGATCCTGTATGAGCCTACTCCCATTGTTAGTAATGTATCAATTGTTATTTTTTTTTAAATTCTTATTGAAGTAAAGTACCCATTTAAAATTAAAGAACAATATTTGTTTTAAATCATAATCATTTAATATGTATCAAAAATAATCCCATAGCTACGTTTAAAATTAAATGATAACGATTCCTTTCATTTAGCTAATAGGGGTATATTTTGATTCTTCAAAAAGAATCATATCTCATACCAGATAAGAGTGGAAAATGACTTACATAAAACATCGATGTTACAATGTTCATATTCTTGATTTTGACCTTCACAAGGTGACCCGTTACACATAGGTAGCGGATTATTGCACTGTCTTGTTCTAGTCTTCATGCCACCTTCACAAGATGTTGTGCATATTGACCATGATGTCCATTCATTCCAATTTCCATTAACTGCCAACAAGAAATAAATAGCATATTATATTTTTTTTTATAATATCAGATATTTGATTAAACGTTCGAAAAGATAATATTTTCGGGATAAGGATATGACATACATACAAATATATTTGGTAAAGCCATTTCATTTTAGAACAATGTTTTTTTATTGTATATGTTCTTTGTTTAAATCTTTTTCAAAACAGGGTAACAACAGCTTTCCGATTGATCATATCTACAAGTTTTATTACAAATGGCCGTATTAATCGGTCAAGTTTTTTTCAAAGAATTTAGCAAACTTTCATTCAAAAATTTGTTTGTGGGAATTTTAATTAAACGAAGAAATTTATATGATGGCTATAACTGTTATTATATACAAATTCAAATTTATTTTTTTTGTATTCATCAAAAACTGTGCTTTGTAAGAAGAGAACTTGTATAACTAAGTTTGATAATAAAATGAACTGAAATTTACCTTTTTTTGTTACGTAGCAAGACAATTAGTATGGTGAGCCCGTTTTTTTTTTTATTTTATTTCTAATATAATAGCCATCTTGTATTTCCTATTATGATATTCTTGATCGAGAGTTGTTGCTTACAAGGAAGCTAATAAACCAGGAGTTCATAGTGGTGAAGTTCAAATCTTCCCTTCGAAATCTTTACGGACGCCATCACAAGTTAGTTGACCGTTATGGAATATCTGTTTCACAGATTACGACGGATGTGTTCCAATTGTCGTAACCACACAACCCCGTTCTCTTTTCCTCATATGTAACATACCGAATTAGACTTGCCACCGGGTTTGTACTTACACGAGCATCACGTCGGGTGCCACATGTGGAGCAGGATATGCTTACCCTTGTGGAGAACCTGAGATCACACCCAGTTTTTTTTGTGGGGTTCGTGTTGCTCAGTCTTTAGTTATCTATGTTGTATACTGTTATTTGTCTTTTTGGTCGTTTTTCGTTTTTTTGCCATAGCATTGTCAGTTTGTTTTCGTCTTATGAGTTTGAACATCCCTTTGGTGTCTCTCTTTCTCATATTTGTTTTTTTTTAATTCTTTCATTTTGGTTTGATCAAAAAGCGCATTATATTGAGTTTTCTTTTTGGTAAACAATCCTTACATAGTATGAAATGTTTGTAGTCTGTAGCATGAAAAAAACATGGTGGTATATGCTTGTTATAAATATTACGTGTGCATTTTGGATATTTATAAGACCTTTTCTTTTTTGTTAATACTCCCATGCTACCTAATTGCATGGATGTTTGGTGTTCTCTTATTTCAAAAGTCTATTTTGTAACAATTACAACTCACCGCTTGTATTTGGGTCATTAACACACTGTGGGCCATCAGAATAACAGTAACTGAAATTGAGAAAAAAAAACGAATGAATATGTAAAGTATTAAGCATCTCAACGAACTTTGTAATATTCAGTTTTATTTACTTTAAAAAATAACTCAAGAATGCTTTCACCAACTTGCAAGAAATTGTGGTGAATTGTTTATATCTATTGACATGAGCTCCCTTTCGATTTTTATATATTTTAGATTTTACTTTTCCGAGTTACAGAGTTTTATTCATAAAAAAAGGGTGATTTTCCAGTTTTCTGACAAAAAATCAAAAATGCTTTCAGCAGTTCTTATGAAACTTTGGTGAATGATGTAAGCTCTGTTTAGAATTTTATAAATTTTTCGAATATCTTTTCTGAGTTGTGGGGTTTTATTCATTAAAAAGGGGGGATTTTCCAGTTTTCGGACAATAACTCAAAAATGCTGTCAGCAATTCTCATGAAACTTTGGTGAATTGACATTGAGAATTAATTGAACTTTATTTGTTTATAGTCTGACAACAGATTTACTAAGTATTGAGCAACAGCACAGTGTATTGCACAACAGCAAGAAATCTTTAATTGAATATAAATTCAATTCATATAACCAATTTCAAGTTCTTTGACTACATTTATTCAAAAACCTATAATATGTCAAATATTTAATTACAATCCAAATTCAGACCTGTATCAAGCTGGAATATTGTGTCCATTTTTGCCCCAACTGTTCAGGGTTGGACCTCTGCAGGCGTATCCAGCTGCGCTCAGCGAAACAGTTTATTTTAAAATGTTATGTATTCACATAGAAGTTATTTAAAAAAATTTAAAATGTTGAAAGGAAATCCTCCAATGACACATGCACAAAATTTATTTACAGGAATGTACATATTAAATACACGAAGCACTCATAGTATGTTGACCAATATGTAAATTTGATATTAAAAGCAATGTCTAGCTAAATAAAATCTATGAACGGTTGGCACTGATTTAAATTAGTGTCTCCTCCATGCCAGTCTTGAACATTAAAACTCAATATTGAATAAAAGACACTGCTTTTTTCAGTGTTTGGTACAGGTTGGCTGTCACTGTGCACAACAGTTCAACATAGAAGCCTATGGGGAAAAACCAGAAAACTCTTTTTGTCAGAAAACACTGTCAAACATCCAAACATACTATCCACACTGATCTGTGTCCACACTTGTTACTTTAAAAAAAAATGTTAATCTAACAAAGTCCATGATATTATGTATAAAAATGTACTACAAAGTGGTACCTTTTGCATTGAAATCAATTAAAATTTACATTTGACCAGGTATACTCCTGTGAGTCTGAATTTGCTTTAAAGAAAAGAAAAAAAAAACGTTTGCAAAAAGTATGGAAGTTGAAGCAGGAAAAGATATTACAGTAAAAATTATATATCTACCATTTGACACATGCATTATTCTGTGTACTGATGAGATCTCCGAGTGCATAAGATACACCATCAACCTCGCACACGTGACATTCCGTTGTGTCCTTAGGTTCACAACTTTCGGTTTCCATGTCATTACCACAAAATTCCAACTCCCCAATATTCAAAGTTCTACAATATAAAAGTAATTCATATGATTATCGTGTGTGTGGTGGGGGAGGGATATGGATAACGAGTCAAAATTGAAAATATATCAATGTTAAAACTTTTGCATTGCTTTTCCTATTCTCCATATACATATGCATGTAGTTACGATTATGCTTTAAAAATGCTCTAACTCATATCTGTCAAATGGTCCGCGAAGAGGACCCCAATATGTGATATAATTGCCAACAAGACATCTCTCCACTAGAGAACAAATGACGCAGATGTTACAATGTAGCAACTATAGAATCTGTCGACGTAGACAGTAACATTAACGTTTGATCAACATAGCAGCAGGATAACAAGAGAATGTATTTGTATACTGTACATTTTAGATGTCGTGCGAATATGTGAATGATTAAGTTACATATACGAATGATAAACTGTAGGAATGCTTCTTTTTGAATATTGTTACAATATTATATAAGGAAATTAATACGGATTCAGGAATTCATTTACTCATATTTTTTTTTTATCCAGAGTTTTTATGCATCATATTTGCTCATTTAAATTTCTTTTCGTCTATTTCAGTCATATTTTTTGCTATCTGTGCTATCTGTAATTAACAATCAAAGAATCGTCAAATAATTACGCAAAGTAATTGTAAACTTAAATGTCCGGATCTCAATATATTTCGTTAAAAAAATGCGTAACTCTTTCCATGCATTTTTTCGAATGAAAAGGCACAGGAAATGATCAATTTTATTTTTTATAATTGTTTGTGCTTTTGATGTACAGTTTCTGGCTATTTGAGGTTCAATTAGCAATCCCCATACAACTGTTATGTTTGGCTGTGCGGAAAAGACAGTCCCGGTAAAACTGATTTGGTCCTTTAAAATAAATACATGTCATAATATGTCAAACTCTATCTACGTATTTAGGGGGCGTCCTTTGGTCGTTGCTGGATTAATAAACACACAGCTATGACAGCTTGGGTGAGCAATGCCCATCCCCAGCATCGAATCTAAGATATTTAACTGGTACTGATATGAGGTTCATACGCATCGAAGGTTTTGTGGGCTTTAAATCATTTCCATTATAAAGCATCTGTACAAAATCAGAGTCAATTGCCAATTGTTCCAAACATAATTCTTTGATAGGATTTAAACCCAAAAACGATAGGATTATTTCCCTCAATAAATGGGACTATATGTTAAAATATACTTCCAATTAAAAGGAAAGGTTATTGTATTACAAATGTATCAGGTTTTCATGAGGTTTTCTTTAACCTTCAGCTTGTAGACCCAGATATTATTAAACTCACAAGGGTTTTTCTTCTTAAACTATATATATATGACAATATCTGTCCGAGTTTGGTTCGAATCCAAAAGTTCCAGAGTTATTACTCAGAAACAACTTGTCTGCACTTATTTGTTCACTTTTTTTTATTATTTAATCTTATATATAAAATGATTAAAAAAAAAATGTGTAATGTTTTCTCACCTATAGCGCCTTTTGACACCAGTTTCACAATTGGAATCGCATTCACCCCAGTCTGTCCAACCGTTCCATTCACAACCTTTAAAAACGAATCAACTTCTTTTATTATATGAGAAAAACAACATTTCATTTGTGAATATTATATGATAAATAAATAGATTAAGTGTAACAAGGTAATCAAAAAATTGCTATTCATTGGTTTACATTTTAGTATTTGGTCCAAGGAATCTGTTGGATGTATTGGTGAAAGACATCAGTTTAAAAAAGAGATACGGTATGATTGGCATTGAAACAACTTTCCGCCAGTGACCAAATGACGTAGAAGTTAGCAACTATAACAGACTTATGGTTGGTCTTGTGTGGACGAGACGCACGTCTTGCGTATTGAATTTTAAGCCTAGTACCTTTTGTTAGCTATTGTTCGTATGTTTCTTTGTCCTATATGTTCTCCCATTTATTTGTATTGTGGTCCTGTCATGTGATGTTGTCGTTTTGGTGTTGTGTTTGACGTTGCCATAAAAGCGGGAGGTTTGGCATGCCACAAAACCAGGTTCAACCCACCATTTTTTTCTTAAAATGTCCTGTACCAAGTCAGGAAAATGGCCATTGTTATATTATAGTTCGTTTCTGTGTGTGTTACATTTTAATGTTGTGTTTTTTTTTGTGTCGTTGTTCTCCTCTTATATTTGATGCGTTTCTCCAAGTTTTAGTTTGTAACCCGGATTTTTTTTTATCTCTATCGATTTATGAGTTTAGATCAGCGGTATAATACTGTTGCCTTTATCTATAATTTGGAACCCAAGACACGCGTTTCCTTTTAAAAAAAAAATGTGAGACGCCCAAATCAAACCAATAGGGAAACCAATCAATGGGGAGCATTAAAAAAATCCAAAAAGTAATTCATTCATATTTATGTAAATTCAGGACTTACCAGGGCTGTTGGAACATATGATACGTATATATTGACTTTTACATTGTTAAAAGACCGTTGTGTTGACGTGTACAGCTTTTCAGTTCTGTTGTGAAGTTTACATTTTGTCACACTGACTTCAACCCCCAATTTCTTTTTCTGTGATGGACCGAAACAATAAAAACAAATAAATGGAGAATGTGTCTATGGGCCACAGATGCCCCCGCTTGTAAATATGCATGAGTCAACTTCCACATACAGATGCAGGACCGTTTTGTGATTATAAGCATTGTATATAAGTTTCATAACATTTGATTGAGGCAAACTAAAGTTAGAGAACGGAAACGACAGATTTAGCAATTTTTCCATTTATAAAGGGGCATAACTCAAGAACGGTAAAAGTGACGCCACCCAATTTTGAACTTGATCTGTGTTTTGTGGTAACAAGCTATGTGTATAAGTTTTATAACATTTGGTTGAGGCAAACTAAAGTTAGAGAACGGAAACGAAAAAATCAGCAATTTATATGTTTATAAAGGGGCATAACTCATGAACAGTAAGAGACGCCACCCGATTTTGAAACTGATCGGTGGTTGTGGTAATAAGCATTGTGTATAAGTCTTATAAAATTTGGTTGAAGCAAACTAAAGTTAGAGAACGGAAACAAAAAAATCAGCAATTTTTATGCATAACTCATGAACGGTACAAGTGATGCCACCAAATTTCGAATTTGATCTGTGTTTTGTGGTAATAAGCATTGTGTATAAGTTTTATAACATTTGGTTGAGGCAAACTAAAGTTAGAGAACAGAAACCAATTTTGTGGACGTTCGGGACGGACATACGGGACGGACGGACAAGGGTAGCACTTAATGCCCCTTCCGCTAGGGCGGGGGCATAAACATTTTATAATGAAGGTAGGACCAAAACGGGAATATATTTTAATGATTTGTATTGAGATTACTGAATAAATGTAAATATCAGGATACTTTCAACGAATTCTTACTACTAGTATATTATACAAATGTGCATAATTTTACAACAACACACGGGAAGCAATGTCTGGCTTTTGTTTTGATTTGAGAGTAAAGCATTATCAAGATAAGGTACTTACAATCTGGTTTTTCATAGCAAAAATAGTTTGATGGTCCATTACAAATGCTGAAAAAAAGGGAAAAACATTGTCTCCAAATGATTAAACGCTGTTTTCGGCAAGTAATGGCGACTAGTATCAATTAAGATCTTTTAGTATACGTATGAGGATGCTAAATTTTACACTGTTAGCAAAACTTATGTCAATGTTGAAGTTATAAGAAAATAGACCGTACACCTAATTTATACTTTTATTGTCTTTTTTAATTTTTCCATGAGTGAAATAGTGTACAAAAATTAATGCTTTATATTGTCATTCTGCTGATGGAACGTTAAAAGCCGAGTACTTTTTACTATTTAACAGAAAAGAATGATGATGGCGTCATTATTTCAGCTTCTAAAATAGGCCTCGTTGACACCTTAAACAGTTATAATACAAAAGTAATGCAGCAGCCGGAAATAGTACAACAATAGTCAAAGGTTGGTATAATATGTGCATTAGGAATAATAATTCGTCATATAAATTAATAAAATAAATAAATACATAAATGGTCATTAGTTATATCACCCTTTGTTCACTTATACCATTTTGTTGTTAGGTCTAAGACAGACTTGATCTTTTTAAGCAATTTAAGCATGATGTGTGGGACAGACATTGTATTTTAGGACTACGAATTATATTGGAAAATCAATACAAGAACATTGATGTCTTCTCCATAACGCGAATATGTCAAATCAACAAAAACATAATTATATGCATTTCACAAGTGGAAATGCTTTAAAATGTAAAAATATCTGAACAAAGACATCACATATATTAAACAGAGGAGCTGGTTTTTAAATCAGTAGTAAAGTTGTTATACATCACGTCATATCTAATGACAAGCAATATCGTGCCCGACATATCATAAAAATCAATTATTAATACTGCAGGGATTGTTGACCTCTAGATGTCTCTGTGTTTTGGGGTATCTGCCTCGTAGACGTGCAACCCTCATCTACATTTATTCATATTCAAAACTATCAAACTGTATAAATATTTAAATATATTATAAACAATTAAACATTACCATTCCTGACAGGCTGAAGGGCCTGGGAAAGACATTCCAACATTAACTGGTACCCCGTCAGATTTGTAGCAGACACAGTACTCTACAGGAACACAATCTTCAGTGGCTTCATCAATAACATATCCTTCTTTACAACCACACCTTGGTTCGAAGTCTTCATCTTCAGAACAAGTTTCAGGATTTTGTAAGGTAAAGCATGACATCTCACATCTAGGTTTTGTCAGTAAGATTCTAGGTTCCTCACATTCTGAAGTCATAAATAAACGTCTATATTCCAGATAAATTTGAATGAAATCTTTATGGTGTATATCCGCAATCCCTTTCCTATCACATTTATGTTATTCAGTTGTCGTTAACTAAAAAAATGCCAATGTGATATTTTCCAGTATCAGAATTCAACACTGCTTGAAGGGTAGTTGTTGATTGTAGTGCTATACAATGTACACTAAGAATCTTATTTATCTGTATTGTATCTTTGTTAAGTTTTTGTTTTAGCGAATTGGAATTATGCAGTGGACTACAATCAACATCAATTATTCATGACTGATTAATTAGGCATTATTTGCCTAAGTTAAATGGCAAATATTGTATTCATACAATGAACTAAAATAAAGTACATGTACAATAAGCATATTATGTAAATGCCACTTGATCTGCTAAAAAATTGTCAAAATATCGCACTTATCAACGAAAACGAACGATCATAACTATACTTGCCTGGATTTGGAGGACAGTCATTTGAACAGCTTTGTACTTCACGTATAATTTCACCAGTACAATTTCGTTGTCTCGACCTTGTACCTTCTGTACACGTCGGGTTGCTGCTGTCAACACTACAATCCGTCCAATCATCCCAAGGTCCACAAATTTCCGCCGTTGCTATTTTAAAAATATATTTTCTAATTGAATATACATTTGTACATGTATGTGTTTTCATAAACTTTCCGATATCCTATCTTCAAGTTTAATGTTCAACCAATGTTAAATTAAATTTCTGCAATTTTCATGCTATTTTCACATTTCTCGATAGGTTTGAGAGAATTATTTCTCATCTCAAGAGAAAACTTTGTTCTCGGCAAATGATTGTTCGAAATTCAATTATGACGTCAAATTTTCTTGATTTCTTCTGAAGTTCCTATTGTGACGACCATGCCTGATGACGTTACATATAAAGAACACAACTTTCTGCAAATTTTTTAAAAGGAAGGATAAACTTTGTTTAGATATCGTCTAAAAATCATTAGGGAAACAGATTCCACCACTATATCTCGTGTATTACGACATTTCTCCACTCTCAACAGTTGAATTTTAAATATTTAAAAAGCTCTGTAAGCCTCGCGTTTTGAATATAAAAATTAAACTGTCTCGAGTGGAGAAATATCGTAAAACACTTGATGCAGTGGTGGAATATATTGAATTATTGAGCAATCTGAAATCAGAAACAAGGCTTATTCTCTTCGATAGCCTCTGTTTCCATACCACCTTTAAACTCCATCTTGTTGGGCAAATTATTTGTCCTTAATCTACAAGTTTTTGACCTACTAAATTACGTATGTCAGTTGTACCTATTGCATGAAACAGATAATGTTGATAGCGCTTTTATTGATAAATTTCGAGATATCAGAGTTAAACACTGTTAATATCAAATGCGCAAAATTAAATTGTCAAATAGTTTTATACACTTTTCAATGCATATTCTATGGCATCAGGTTCACAGTTGACCTATGTACAGGAAATATTCCAATCATAAAAAAAAAAAATAGCAACGTACATAATACGTTTTACGGATAATTCTTTCAAATATCCGTTAAATGTACATGTATATTTAATACCACGCGTGCAAAACACGGTCTTGAAATCAGTCGTTTTGTGCATGAAATGTTTATACCAATAGTGTTCACGTGTAAAACGTGTGTTTAACGTATTTTCTGACTTTTATGGTCGAACAAATTGGTAACATAAACACACTTATAGTTCATGTAAAACATGTGGCCAATAAATAGCACGTCTGAACATTGTAGTGGGGTATTCTGTTATACGTACATGTAAAGCATCTTTTTCTCATGTCTACCATACCATGCGTATAGCATCTTCTTTAAACATGCGATTTTCATACGTAGTGAGAATAATTTTTCATTAAGAATTTGAAAAGCAGGAGTTGATATTTTTCCTGTGTATGATTTAATCCAATTGACGACATTTAACATAGACATACAGTTAAACAAGCTTAGAATAAATTTTCAAAACAGGTAATATGAAAATAGCAAATATCGTACAATGTTAAACCTTAAGTAGTCAAAGATGTGATGCCATTACTTACTTGGTTTAGGACAACTGTGAATATTACAATCTTGCCTCTGAATCAAGTCATCTGGGCACCTATCCGGTGTTGTCAAGGAGAGTTTGGTGCGTGTTCTAGACATTGATCCCACATCACAATCCCTTGTACATTGAGACCATTCTCCCCAATCTGAATATTTACAATCTAAAACAGAAAGTATAAAAACGTCAAAAATAACAAAAGGTTTCCGGCACAAACTTTTCTGAACAACAGCAAACATGTTATTATACCTTATGAAATAGCAACTTTATCAAAAAATTTATTTGCACAGAAAAAAATACCTTATTCTATTAAAAGAATTCTTTTGAAGTTTTTTTTATGAAAATATATTTAATGAGACAAAATCGGTTCTTTTTTATTGGAATTAGAAAACTACAATAGATATAAAAAGATGTGGTATGAGTGCCAATGAGTCAACTCTCCATCCAAGTCACAATTTGTAAAAGTAACCCATAATAGGTCAAAGTGCAATGCTTTTTTTATCATAATCAACTCTATCAATCATTATGATACCTTGACACTCTCCAATCTCACAACCAATTGTTCCGTCTTCTTCGCATGAACTGGAAGTATAAAACATGTATAAGAATATACGAACATAATGAAATGAGGTCGTTGTGCCTTCATCAGTATCAGTCCTTTTTATCTTCAGTATCGTTGCACAAATCTGAGACTTTTATAAGTTGGCCTGTTTGTACGATCCGGTACTAATTGGATTATGAAGAGTGTGATTCAAAAGGAAGTCTTGCCAAATCGAAAAATCTTATCTAAATACAACAAAAGCAGCATTACATAATTCCAAAGTACGACTTGTGTATGACAGAAAATATTCAAACCAATAGTGCTTTTGTAGTGAGAGAAGACTTAAATAAATCATTTGTTCTTTTACCGTAAAAAACAACATCTGATAATTTGTGTCACGTTTGTTTGGAAAAACGGGAAAAGATACTAAAAGGGATTCATAAGAAAAACATGGGAATATGAAAATGAGATGTCATTTGTAGTATGATTGCAAATGCTACAATTATCCACCAAAGACTAAATGAAAATGATCTTTGAACACCATACGGCCTATAAAGAGGAACCAGCCGCAAAATTCATTACCCCTGTATTTATCATCAATTCTTTAATTTGATTTATAACACACTTAAACATTTACCAGAATTACAAAAGTTTCATATGAAACAATAAACAATGCATGCAATCGTTATAAAGTATCATCATTTTTGTGCGTATTTTATGACTAGACGCCATCTAAGTATCAATTGAGATGACCTTCAAAGACTGCTGATGGTCATATGGTCCTATATAAACATAAATATAGATAGACAGAAAAGCACGTCAAAAACCCACAACACTCATATACAATTGTAAAAATTCGCTGAAAGAAGCTGTACGTTAGTTAAGAAGACATTGGGTATGTGATAACATTTCAAAGTTAATTGATTATTCAATTATCTTGATTTATACCGACAACGCTTGTTACGGCTTGTATGTCTGACAGTAATCTATAATTGAATGACCAATTGCCGATAAACATAAATGAGGTATAACGTACGGTCAATATCACTTGAATTTATTTCTTCTAACAAGGGCCATTTTCCAACTGTATTGAAATCTCACAAACAATTCAATATCACAAACATGGGAAAACTTTGAGGTTGTACCAACATCATGGTGTACAGAAGAAGAAGAAGATATTTTATTTCCAATTATGGGCCCCAAAGGGCATAAACATTACAACATCAATAATTTTCATAATACAATACAAACAATGAGATAAAAAAAAGATTTATGAGAACTATTTAAGTTCTTAAAGAATATGTAGATAAAGAATCTATAATATTTTTTTTAAATACTAATGCATTTTAATGCAAGTGTGGTTGATATAGATAACAAACAAACAGCCCAAAAAGAAAAAAAGAAAAAGAAAAATAGATATCCATATATGTATAGTATACAATAAGTTGGATCAATTAAACATATAATAACTAGCCAAAAAGAAAGTAGAAGTTAAGCATGTCTATGACTCATCCTGTGTCAGCAGCAAGTAGGAAAGTATTATTATTTCCTAAAGGCAGCTGACACCAGGGGGCGATACCTTAAGACCATAGGCATGTAAAATGTGTGTAAATGTCTCTTTCCTACCTGTATCAAAAGCAAACAAGGAAGCATCATAGGTAACTTGAATACAGTTGATACCAGTGGACGATGCCTCAATGATATAAGAGAACATTTGAATAAATAATATCTAAACAACTAATTCTTTTTTCCTTAATCGGCTAGTATGTTTGTGATATTCAGATGAATATAATTTTCTATGCCCAATCAAATGTATATACACACATAGATTTCCTTTATCTAATCTTCACTAAGGAAGATGTTTGCATATAAAATTACATATTATTTTAAGTAAATCAACATTTTCTACACTAAATAACCAGATAATTTTGTTTTGACTGCTCATACGATTAAAATAAGAATTATATTTTGCAATACTAGCTAACATACAATTTCTATCATCCTCAAATTTGTTGCAATCAAATAGAAAATGAGCCTCATCTTCGACAGTACTGTAAGAACATTTATTACATATTCTGTTAATTTGGGGAATACCCTGATATCTACCTAGTTCTTTTTGTAATCTATGAGAAGATACACGTAATTTAGTAAAACTTCTTTTAAGTTCAAAATTTTTGATCAATGTTAGATATTTTTCAAAACCAAAATTTGTTTTATATAAAAGGTAGGTTTTCAGTTTACTGTCTGAAAATTTATCTATTTGTTTTTTCCAACAGCTAATAAACAATATTGATAGCTTGGTTTGTATACATTTCTTAAATTTGTATAAAGATTCACAAAATGGAGCATTTATGGCATTTGTATAGTCAATACCAAGTATTTTAAAAATAACATTTATTGAACCATACCATGATGTTTTATTCATCTGATGTAGTGTTTTTGATTGTGTATATGCCTCTTTTAATAGAGGAAAATTATTACCTAAATTCTCTAATCTATACCAGTACAATAACATTCCTTTTATAATATTATAATATATTGGAAATCTTCAAAGTTCAGATAACACTGCAGCATCTGTTGTTTTCTTGTATACCCCAAGTATAAATTTACAAAATTTTATATGAAGTATATCACAGGGTAAACCTGAATATAATTTTTCAAAAGATATATCTTCCTTCTTACATTTAGAGGAAAGAGAATTAAACATCCCCCATATTTCGCTACCATATAATAAAATAGGTTTTACAGTGTGGTCAAAAACATGAATACTTGTTTTCACATTAGGATTAAGTGATAAAAGATGTTTCCTTAATTTGAAATAAGCTTTCAAGGATTTTTTGTATAGTTCATTTTGAGCATAACTGAATGAACCAGATGAGCTTAAATATAAACCTAGGTATTTGTATTTTGAGACACATTCCAGATTTATATTCTGAAATGTGAATATCTGTTTTACATGTCTGCCTGCTTTGTTGAAAATCAGAACCTTTGTCTTATTAGTATTCACATTAAGACACCAATCTTTGCAAAATTTATCAAGCATTCTCAGCTTTTCTCGTAGTCCTTCAGCTGATGTAGATAATAAAACAATATCATCGGCATACATTAAACAATGTAGATCTTTGTCATTGACATTAACTGGGTCTCTAGTATCTGGCAAATATCTGGGCAAATCATTTATGAATATCTTGAATAAATCAGGACTGAGGTTGTCACCTTGTTTGACTCCGATATCTAATGGGAAAAAATCACTTACTTGATTTTGAATTTTGACACATGATTTGCTAATTTCATACATCCTCTTAATAATGTTATAGAAATAAGACCCAACCCCAATATCTAGTAGTTTAATCTTGATCCCTGTATGTATAACAGTATCAAAAGCCTTCTGAAAATCAATAAACAGGCAAACAGTCTACCTTCTTTTGAATTACAGTATTTGTTAATAAGACAGTTTAAAATAAACATATGATCTGCAGTTCTGGCTTTCCTTGTGAATCCAATTTGACTATCATGTATAATATTATGTTCCTGAAGAAATTTGTCCAGTCTTAGACTTAAAATTCTATTTAAAAGCTTTCCAATTGCACTTGTTATTGTTATTCCTCTATAATTGTTAGGGTCACTTGTATCGTTGCTTTTAAAAATTGGTGTAATATAACCTTCAGCCCAAGATGTTGGGTATATACCTGAAGACAGACAAGTATTAAACATCTGTTGAAAACTTTTTAAAAGAAAAGTCTGTCCATTCTTTATCATATTATTACTAATGTTATCCAAGCCTGATGATTTATTGCATTTTAAGTGTGAAATGGCTTTGGATATTTCAGACTCAGCGATAACGGAGTCCAACTCGTTGAAACATTTTGAGTTTTCAAACTGTTTCAGTTTTTCACATCTAATCAGTTTTGTACATCTAATCATAAAACCATCATATTATAAATGCTTGAAATAAATTGTAGCTAAATTAATACTGAATATGTCGAAGATTTATGCAAATTTTGTATATTCATCGAAATAATGAAGGAGAAGGACATCAACCAGAACCAACATTCCATCAACACAAAATATGTCACGAAATATTAGTTCCTTTTTGTCGCGTCCATAATGCATTCACGGAAACACCTGCTGTTTTCCGGTGTTGGTGGAGGTTTAAATAGTTGCTGAAGTTTGTGGTTAGAGCAGTGTAAAAAGAGGACCGCTAAGGCTAAGTAAATGATACTTGGTATGAAGTTATTTAAGAATTGGCATATATAATTTCAATAGAGATTGTTTGATGCCACCCCTCATTCATGTATCGGCTTTGAATAGTCATGGTCCATTAGCCATGGCTTTGAAACTTTTGTATAGTTTGCATGTTAAATGTTCCCCGCGCGTCGCACCTAGGGGAATATAGTAATGGTCTCCCTCCGCCCACCCCGAGGCCCACCCATCTGTCCGTCCCTCCATCCGTCCGAAACACATCAATACTTCGAGACCATTTTACGTAAAGTTTCATACTTGGTAGGATTGTTTGTTGTCAATTTTTCTTGACTGTGCTATATCGACAGTTTGATTTGATAATTTTTTTACGGGAGTTATTTTTTAGTATTGTAACACAAAATGTGAACGCAACTTCTCTCAGTGGGTTTTAAAGAAAGCTTTCATACTTGGTTGGATTGTTTGCCATCATGTGTAGTTGACCTTATTATACCGTCATTTTCATGTGACCATTTTTTATGGGACTTTGATGATTTGTTTTAGTTTTGTAGTACTGTCTCCTTGTGAATGCAACTCCTCTGAGATCATTTGACAGAAAGCTCCCATTAATTGTTTGCCCTCATGTGTACTTGACCATATTATACCGTCATTTTTGTTTGACACTTTTTATGGAACTTGTGGGACTTTTCCCATAATTTGACTATCGTACCACAATGACACAGTGTGACACACAACTTTGTTCCCCATTTATACAACGCGGGAGACATTTCACAACGGCGTACGTAGCGATCTTGTTAAGTCTATGATTAGGTCAATTCACTTTTATACTTTTATATTGTTTCTAGCACTTGAAGTACTAAAACCATTTTATAATTCGACGACAGCATGTAAAATATGCCATATTGTTTTAAAACCGTCTTTAACAGCAACCGTGTATAGCGCTGATTAACATTTTGATCTTATGGATGTATGTAAAAGGGTTGATTTTTTTAAATGTATTGTTGAAACTACATCATACAAGAGGTCCTGACCAACAGATTTGATCAACTATCGGGTTTTTACACCGTGAGTGAATTAATTCTGGGATATTGGACATACCGCATTTGTACGTGCTATTGAAGAAGGAAGGATATTCGCAATGCAATTAGCATCTACAATAGAAAACTGGGTCAACTGTTAGAAGTTCATTTAAGATTCATTGCGTCATTTTCGATACGAGGATCACATCAAAACTGACGTTTCTGTACTTACTTGTCCAGATCAAATCTTCTTATTTATCCAGCATACATACCTTGTTCTGACTTTCTTGTTACAAAGGAGGAGATATGATAAGACAACCTCTTTGATACATTAAATTTGGAATGATATGCTTTAGATGTTCACAAACATTAATCTGCCAGAAATCAATATTCTATTTTATTGAATTTTAATTTATTATTTGCTGACTTCAAATATCTTGCATTTAATGCAAAATTGCAAAACCGACTAAAAATACATAGGTTTCATTTTGAGATCTTTTCATTAATTATCGGGTATTGAAATACTTGAACAATCGAGTAGTGAATTGACCCCATTGCCTAAGTCCTTAGGTCTCTGGTGGATAGTTGTCTCATTGTCAACCATAACACATCTTCTTATTTGTAATATAACAAAAACATTTTTAAAAAAAGAGAAAACACTGGCAACTACATGTAGTGCATACTTTGTTAAAACTAACTGTCGAGAGAATTTTCTACCCATTTGTTCCATAAAAACTAATTGTTTTCCATTAACAAACATTTTTATCTCTTACTATGAGGGAAATAAGAAAGCGATGACAACTACATGTAATTGTTGCCTACTGTTATATATTTATATAATACAAGATACAAGATCTCAACATCTGTCTAATTTAAATTCTAAATTCGAAATTTTTCAAAGCTATCTGATGAGATGAAATTTGTTTGGATTCTTTCATCTAAAGATTTGTTTGTTACTTCAAACGTATCTAAATCATTGCAATCCCTATATGAAGAACGAAAGAAACTCTTAGAAAATATCAATGTAGTTTGAAAAAGAAAAGAAAAAAAATGATCAGGAGTCGTCTCCCGTAGGCCTAGATCTATTTATAAGTTAAATAAGAAAACGTATTTTTCTCCAGGTCGACTTAAAGTTTTGTCAATGACATTGTTTATATGTTACTTTGTTTAAATGTGTATACATGTTTTTGTTTAGATGTACTTTAATCACTCTTATCATTCTAATCATTTACTTTGCTTGCCTTTATTGTGCACAAATGTAATAATTCATTTGATTGTATTGCTCAAATTTTGGGCACCATGATTGGTTAATAAAATATCTTATCTTAAAAATATCTTATCTTATTTACCAGTTACTACATCCCACCACGACAACAACACCTGCCTCCACGGTAGATCCGATATAAATCTTTTCCTCGTTATCAGTTATTCCTGGCTGGTTATCTTTCTCAATATATCCAATAAGTCCCATTTGTTCATACCCAAAGTTATCAAAAAACTCGTTTTGAGTAAATTTACAAAAACCTGGAAAGTAATGAATCTCATATTACTGCCAACTTTATTGAAGATAAGAGATAAACAACAGAGCGCTAATTATAATTGATGAAACGTATTTAATGTTATCAATCTGTTAAAAAGAGACCAAGCATCTTTTTCTGCTGTTAAATGAACATTTCATCTCATAGATATTTGTACTATTTTTTTTAATATGCCCTTATCAAAAGTCTGCCAATCGTTTTTATGTACAGGGATGTATACATACGTAGAAACGGTTGGTGCTATATGACCAAAAGGATCCTACAAAAAATAGCCAAATTCATATAAGGTCAGCTTTGCCAGAGGGATCTGGAACCTTTTTTTCTAAGTAAGTTCGGTTTTATCAACGCGGAATTTTTGAATAATATGTTATAAAGCATGTCAGTACCAAAGTACTGACTACTGAGCTGATGATACCCTCTTGGGCTGACAGTCTACCAGCAGTGGTATCGACCCAGTGAGCTGATGATACCCTCTTGGACTGACAGTCTACCAGCAGTGGTATCGACCCAGTGAGCTGATGATACCCTCTTGGACTGACAGTCTACCAGCAGTGGTATCGACCCAGTGAGCTGATGATACCCTCTTGGGCTGACAGTCTACCAGCAGTGGTATCGACCCAGTGAGCTGATGATACCCTCTTGGGCTGACAGTCTACCAGCAGTGGTATCGACCCAGTGAGCTGATGATACCCTCTTGGGCTGACAGTCTACCAGCAGTGGTATCGACCCAGTGAGCTGATGATACCCTCTTGGACTGGCAGTCTACCAGCAGTGGTATCGACCCAGTGAGCTGATGATACCCTCTTGGACTGACAGTCTACCAGCAGTGGTATCGACCCAGTGAGCTGATGATACCCTCTTGGACTGATAGTCTACCAGCAGTGGTATCGACCCAGTGAGCTGATGATACCCTCTTGGACTGATAGTCTACCAGCAGTGGCATTGACCCAGTGCTAGTAAATGAAAATAACACTTTATAAATTATTTGGATTTACCTTCATCCGGGAAAGCTCAAATCAAAACATTTGAAAGCCAGGGATGTAAACATACCGCTAGTTGGACCAGGGATGTATACATACAGCTATTTGGACTAGGGATGTATACATACAGCTAGTTGGACCAGGGATGTACACATACAGCTAGTTCGACCAGGGATGTATACATACAGCTAGTTGGACCAGGAATTGACATTTTTTTTCTTCACATAGGCGCTTTTCTATTAAATCGATTTGTAAATAAAAAGTAAAAATCGGGATGCCAACAGGCAGTTGTTTAAGCTCATTGCCGTGGACAAGTAGTTAGTGGAAAACACAGTTATCCGATATGCTTCTCATTTTACCTTTGAAGACCTGTTCTAGGATGCAAAAATTAAAAAAAAAAATCTTTCGTTAGATGACCACAAACAAATCAATATTTGTAAGAACCATCGTGATCCCCGATCCTTGTTTCAATAGGCATATACCTATCTGTCTTGGATGAAACATATTGTAAATTCCCATGAACTTTTAAAAAAAAATCACATTAGTACCGGTATTTGATTTTGATGAAACCTCATATCCCCCTGTTAGTCTTTTGGCGTGCAAGCAGAACTCTTCTTTTGTTATGGGGAATTCAAAGAATACAAACGAGACTAAGGTGATGGTATTGTGAATTGCCATGCTCATCATAATTAGGGGTGTGCATTTGGTTCAACCACTTCTAGTCAAGCTAAAAAGTTTTAAATGAATTACTGCTTTTAGGAGAATACGGAAAGAGTATTTTGCTCAGTCAGAATAATCTGAATGGGGTCACATAAATTTTATGGGAACATTTTAATACCTTGGGATCTAGACGTATAGCAATATGACTATATTGGTCAGCATGTTGTTTTAGTACAAACCAAGAAATATTCACCTAGCTCATTATTTTGATCCTGAACATGGATGAATAGTTCCAACTGAATGTCAAGCGCCAATAAACAATCATTACCATATAATGAAAACAACGTCTATCAAATATCTTTCAGGGGCATTTGTTTGGAAATATACACATTTTTAAAATTTATTCAACATGTGTCATTTACCGAACTAACATAATTCCTCATGTAAAACCCTTGAATCTCGTTCATTAAACTTACACCCTAAAGAAGAGTACCATTAACAGATAATGCATGACAAAAATGTTTTATTAGATAAAAAAAAAAAAATGAAGATTGCAGTGGTTGCTATATGCTTCTTAAATATATATTTGGATTTAAATGAAAATTGACGCCAACAATGCTTACTTGAAGAAAATAACAAAACTTAACCAAACCACAGTGAGATAAGAAAGTCTGGTATGGTACAGGCACCAATAAATCAAACTATATGCATTAGAGCAACTGTTGTCCTCGTTTTTCAATGAAGTAACCCAGTTATAACATCTAAACTTCTAAATCGCACAATTTAAAACAAATATTATGAACTTATATTTTGGCATTGCACAAGGTCATGCTTTTTTCATACTGTTTATGACGTCTTTACATTAAATCCGTTGGATGTGTACTGATTGATTCTTTTTCCGGGAGAACATGATTTATTTATTTATCAATTATTGGCTTTAAACTAGCTTTCAGTAACTTCCAGTAATCGTAGATCGGTTATTTTAAGTCTTTTGTCTTTTGTCTTTTTACAAAATGTTTTTGTGCTCTGTGCCGATCTGATGAGTCAAGCCACTTTCCAATTTTTACAGCATATATATTATTGTGTGCTAATATATCATATTCTCATGTTAGGGGAAGGGTTCAGCGCTTACAAACATGTCTACCCCGTCACGTTCTTATTGTGCCAGTCCCAATTTAGGAGCCTGTAATTCAGTGATAATTGTTGGTTGCTGTTTTAAATGAAGCAAACAGTTATGTGATAAATAAGCTATAACGTCTTTAGAATAAAACTGGAATGAATCAGGATTGCATCAATGTATCAACCAAAAAGAATATAAGACATTTATTTGTGACTCGAAAATTTAAACGCATGCAAAAACCAAGTAATATTTGTAGGAGAGGCAATGTTCATGTGCACAACAAATGTGATAAATTATTTAGTCAGTCTTTGGATATGTTCTATATTTACTGATCCGATAAAATAAAAAGTTCCATGTTATTTTATAAAAAAAAAATCCTTTTACCTGGAGATGGTGTTCCTGTTTCAGAAGGTTGACCTGTGGTGATTTCTTGTGTTGGTCCTCCAGTTGTAGAAGGTTGACCAGTGATAACACCTACAGATGGTGCTATTGTTGCAGGTGGTAGACCTGGTGTTAGTTCAGTTGTAGAAGGTGGTCCAGTGCTTATACCTTGAGATGGTGCAACTGTTGCAGAAGGTTGACCTGTGGTAACTGCTGGAGATGGTCCTAAAGTTGTAGAAGGTGGACCAGTGCTTACACCTGGAGATGGTCCAACTGTTGCCGAAGGTAGACTTGTGGTTACTACTGGAGGAGATGGTCCTCCAGTTACAGAAGGTAGACCAGTGCTTACACCTGGAGATGGTGTTCCTGTTGCAGAAGGTAGACCAGTGCTTACACCTGGAGATGGTGCTACTGTTGCAGAAGGTAGACTTGTGGTTACTGCTGCAGATGTTCCTCCAGTTGTAGAAGGTAGACCGGTACTTACTACTGGAGATGGTGCTTCTGTTGCAGGAGGTTGACCTGTGGTTTTTACAGTAGATGGTCCTCCAGTTGTAGAAGGTGGACCAGTGCTTACAACTTGAGATGGTGTTCCTGTTGCAGAAGGTAGATTTGTGGTTACAACTGGAGATGGTCCTCCAGTTGCAGAAGGTGGACCAGTGCTTACACCTAGAGATGGTGTTCCTGTTGCAGAAGGTATATTTGTGGTTACTACTGCAGATGGTCCTCCAGTTGCAGAAGGTGGACCAGTGCTTACACCTGGAGATGGTGTTCCTGTTGCAGACGGTAGACTAGTGGTTAATACTGGAGATGGTGTTCCAGTTGCAGAAGTTGGACCAGTGCTTACTCCTGGAGATGGTGCTAATGTTGTAGAAGGTAGACTTGTGGTTTCTACTGGAGATGGTCCTCCAGTTGCAGAAGGTGGACCAGTGCTTACTCCTGGAGATGGTGTTACTGTTGCAGAAGGTAGACTTGTTGTTACTACCGGAGATGGACCTCCAGTTGCAGAAGGTGGACCAGTGCTTACAACTGGAGATGGTGTTCCTGTTGCAGATGGTATATTTGTGGTTACTACTGGAGATGGTCCTCCAGTTGCAGAAGGTGGACCAGTGCTTACTCCTGGAGATGGTGCTACTGTTGCAGAAGGTAGACTTGTTGTTACTACCGGAGATGGACCTCCAGTTGCAGAAGGTAGGCCAGTGCTTACAACTGGAGATGGTGTTCCTGTTGCAGAAGGTAGATTTGTGGTTACTACTGGAGATGGTCCTCCAGTTGCAGAAGGTGGACCAGTGCTTACACCTGGAGATGGTGTTCCTGTTGCAGACGGTAGAATTGTGGTTACTACTGGAGATGGACCTCCAGTTGCAGAAGGTGGACCAGTGCTTACAACTGGAGATGGTGTTCCTGTAGCAGAAGGTATATTTGTGGTTACTACTGGAGGTGGTCCTCCAGTTGCAGAAGGTGGACCAGTGCTTACACCTGGAGATGGTGTTCCTGTTGCAGACGGTAGACTTGTGGTTACTACTGGAGATGGACCTCCAGTTGCAGAAGGTGGACCAGTGCTTACAACTGGAGATGGTGTTCCTGTTGCAGACGGTAGACTAGTGGTTACTACTGGAGATGGTCCTGCAGTTGCAGAAGGTGGACCAGTGCTTATACCTGGAGATGGTGTTACTGTTGCAGAAGGCGGACCAGTGCTTATACCTGGAGATGGTGCTATTGTTGCAGAAGGCTGACTTGTGGTTACTGCTGGAGATGGTCCTACAGTTGGAGAAGGTGGACCAGTGCTTACTCCTGGAGATGGTGCTACTGGTACAGAAGGTAGTCTTGTGGTTACTACTGAAGATGGACCTCCAGTTGCAGAAGGTGGACTAGTGCTTACAACTGGAGATGGTGTTCCTGTTGCAGAAGGTGGACCAGTGCTTACACCTGGAGATGGTGTTCCTGTTGCAGACGGTAGACTAGTGGTTACTACTGGAGATGGTCCTCCAGTTGCAGAAGGTGGACCAGTGCTTACAACTGGAGATGGTGCTACTGTTGCAGACGGTAGACTAGTGGTAACTACTGGAGATGGTCCTGCAGTTGCAGAAGGTGGACCAGTGCTTACAACTGGAGATGATGTTCCAGTTGCAGAAGGTAGACCAGTGCTTACACCTGGAGATGGTGCTACTGTTGCAGAAGGTTGACTTGTGGTTACTGCTGCAGATGTTCCTCCAGTTGTAGAAGGTAGACCGGTACTTACACCTGGAGATGGTGCTTCTGTTGCAGGAGGTTGACCTGTGGTTTTTGCAGTAGATGGTCCTCCAGTTGTAGAAGGTGGACCAGTGCTTACAACTTGAGATGGTGTTCCTGTTGCAGAAGGTAGATTTGTGGTTACTACTGGAGATGGTCCTCCAGTTGCAGAAGGTGGACCAGTGCTTACAACCTGAGATGGTGTTCCTGTTGCAGACGGTAGACTAGTGGTTAATACTGGAGATGGTGTTCCAGTTGCAGAAGTTGGACCAGTGCTTACTCCTGGAGATGGTGCTAATGTTGTAGAAGGTAGACTTGTGGTTTCTACTGGAGATGGTCCTCCAGTTGCAGAAGGTGGACCAGTGCTTACAACTGGAGATGGTGTTACTGTTGCAGACGGTAGACTTGTTGTTACTACCGGAGATGGACCTCCAGTTGCAGAAGGTGGACCAGTGCTTACACCGGGAGATGGTGTTCCTGTTGCAGACGGTAGACTTGTGGTTACTACTGGAGATGGACCTTCAGTTGCAGAAGGTAGACCAGTGCTTACAACTTGAGATGGTGTTCCTGTTGCAGAAGGTAGATTTGTGGTTACTACTGGAGATGGTCCTCCAGTTGCAGAAGGTGGACCAGTGCGTACAACTGGAGATGGTGTTCCTGTAGCAGAAGGTATATTTGTGGTTACTACTGGAGATGGTCCTGCAGTTGCAGAAGGTGGACCAGTGCTTACACCTGGAGATTGTGTTCCTGTTGCAGACGGTAGACTTGTGGTTACTACTGGAGATGGACCTCCAGTTGCAGAAGGTAGACCAGTGCTTACAACTGGAGATTGTGTTTCTGTTGCAGACGGTAGATTTGTGGTTACTACTGGAGATGGTCCTCCAGTTGCAGAAGGTGGACCAGTGCTTACACCTGGAGATGGTGTTCCTGTTGCAGACGGTAGACTTGTGGTTACTACTGGAGATGGACCTCCAGTTGCAGAAGGTAGACCAGTGCTTACAACTGGAGATGGTGTTCCTGTTGCAGACGGTAGACTAGTGGTTACTACTGGAGATGGGCCGCCAGTTGCAGAAGGTGGACCAGTGCTTACAACTGGAGATGGTGCTACTGTTGCAGACGGTAGACTAGTGGTAACTACTGGAGATGGTCCTGCAGTTGCAGAAGGTGGACCAGTGCTTACAACTGGAGATGATGTTCCAGTTGCAGAAGGTAGACCAGTGCTTACACCTGGAGATGGTGCTACTGTTGCAGAAGGTAGACTTGTGGTTACTGCTGCAGATGTTCCTCCAGTTGTAGAAGGTAGACCGGTACTTACACCTGGAGATGGTGCTTCTGTTGCAGGAGGTTGACCTGTGGTTTTTGCAGTAGATGGTCCTCCAGTTGTAGAAGGTGGACCAGTGCTTACAACTTGAGATGGTGTTCCTGTTGCAGAAGGTAGATTTGTGGTTACTACTGGAGATGGTCCTCCAGTTGCAGAAGATGGACCAGTGCTTACAACCGGAGATGGTGTTCCTGTTGCAGACGGTAGACTAGTGGTTAATACTGGAGATGGTGTTCCAGTTGCAGAAGTTGGACCAGTGCTTACTCCTGGAGATGGTGCTAATGTTGTAGAAGGTAGACTTGTGGTTTCTACTGGAGATGGTCCTCCAGTTGCAGAAGGTGGACCAGTGCTTACAACTGGAGATGGTGTTACTGTTGCAGAAGGTAGACTTGTTGTTACTACCGGAGATGGACCTCCAGTTGCAGAAGGTGGACCAGTGCTTACAACTGGAGATGGTGTTCCTGTTGCAGACGGTAGACTTGTGGTTACTACTGGAGATGGACCTTCAGTTGCAGAAGGTGGACCAGTACTTACAACTGGAGATGGTGTTCCTGTTGCAGAAGGTAGATTTGTGGTTACTACTGGAGATGGTCCTCCAGTTGCAGAAGGTGGACCAGTGCTTACACCTGGAGATGGTGTTCCTGTTGCAGACGGTAGACTTGTGGTAACTACTGGAGATGGACCTCCAGTTGCAGAAGGTGGACCAGTGCTTACAACTGGAGATGGTGTTCCTGTAGCAGAAGGTATATTTGTGGTTACTACTGGAGATGGTCCTGCAGTTGCAGAAGGTGGACCAGTGCTTACACCTGGAGATGGTGTTCCTGTTGCAGACGGTAGACTTGTGGTTACTACTGGAGATGGTCCTCCAGTTGCAGAAGGTAGACCAGTGCTTACAACTGGAGATTGTGTTGCTGTTGCAGACGGTAGATTTGTGGTTACTACTGGAGATGGTCCTCCAGTTGCAGAAGGTGGACCAGTGCTTACACCTGGAGAGGGTGTTCCTGTTGCAGACGGTAGACTTGTGGTTACTACTGGAGATGGACCTCCAGTTGCAGAAGGTAGACCAGTGCTTACAACTGGAGATGGTGTTCCTGTTGCAGACGGTAGACTAGTGGTTACTACTGGAGATGGGCCGCCAGTTGCAGAAGGTGGACGAGTGCTTACAACCGGAGACGGTGTTCCTGTTGCAGAAGGTTGACTTGTGGTAACTGCTGGAGGTGGTCCTTCAGTTGCAGAAGGTGGACCAGTGCTTACAACCTGAGATGGTGTTCCTGTTGCAGACGGTAGACTAGTGGTTAATACTGGAGATGGTGTTCCAGTTGCAGAAGTTGGACCAGTGCTTACTCCTGGAGATGGTGCTAATGTTGTAGAAGGTAGACTTGTGGTTTCTACTGGAGATGGTCCTCCAGTTGCAGAAGGTGGACCAGTGCTTACAACTGGAGATGGTGTTACTGTTGCAGAAGGTAGACTTGTTGTTACTACCGGAGATGGACCTCCAGTTGCAGAAGGTGGACCAGTGCTTACACCTGGAGATGGTGTTCCTGTTGCAGACGGTAGACTTGTGGTTACTACTGGAGATGGACCTTCAGTTGCAGAAGGTAGACCAGTGCTAACAACTTGAGATGGTGTTCCTGTTGCAGAAGGTAGATTTGTGGTTACTACTGGAGATGGTCCTCCAGTTGCAGAAGGTGGACCAGTGCTTACAACTGGAGATGGTGTTCCTGTAGCAGAAGGTATATTTGTGGTTACTACTGGAGATGGTCCTGCAGTTGCAGAAGGTGGACCAGTGCTTACACCTGGAGATTGTGTTCCTGTTGCAGACGGTAGACTTGTGGTTACTACTGGAGATGGACCTCCAGTTGCAGAAGGTAGACCAGTGCTTACAACTGGAGATTGTGTTCCTGTTGCAGACGGTAGATTTGTGGTTACTACTGGAGATGGTCCTCCAGTTGCAGAAGGTGGACCAGTGCTTACACCTGGAGATGGTGTTCCTGTTGCAGACGGTAGACTTGTGGTTACTACTGGAGATGGACCTCCAGTTGCAGAAGGTAGACCAGTGCTTACAACTGGAGATGGTGTTCCTGTTGCAGACGGTAGACTAGTGGTTACTACTGGAGATGGGCCGCCAGTTGCAGAAGGTGGACCAGTGCTTACAACTGGAGATGGTGCTACTGTTGCAGACGGTAGACTAGTGGTAACTACTGGAGATGGTCCTGCAGTTGCAGAAGGTGGACCAGTGCTTACAACTGGAGATGATGTTCCAGTTGCAGAAGGTAGACCAGTGCTTACACCTGGAGATGGTGCTACTGTTGCAGAAGGTAGACTTGTGGTTACTGCTGCAGATGTTCCTCCAGTTGTAGAAGGTAGACCGGTACTTACACCTGGAGATGGTGCTTCTGTTGCAGGAGGTTGACCTGTGGTTTTTGCAGTAGATGGTCCTCCAGTTGTAGAAGGTGGACCAGTGCTTACAACTTGAGATGGTGTTCCTGTTGCAGAAGGTAGATTTGTGGTTACTACTGGAAATGGTCCTCCAGTTGCAGAAGATGGACCAGTGCTTACAACCGGAGATGGTGTTCCTGTTGCAGACGGTAGACTAGTGGTTAATACTGGAGATGGTGTTCCAGTTGCAGAAGTTGGACCAGTGCTTACTCCTGGAGATGGTGCTAATGTTGTAGAAGGTAGACTTGTGGTTACTACTGGAGATGGTCCTCCAGTTGCAGAAGATGGACCAGTGCTTACAACCGGAGATGGTGTTCCTGTTGCAGACGGTAGACTAGTGGTTAATACTGGAGATGGTGTTCCAGTTGCAGAAGTTGGACCAGTGCTTACTCCTGGAGATGGTGCTAATGTTGTAGAAGGTAGACTTGTGGTTTCTACTGGAAATGGTCCTCCAGTTGCAGAAGGTGGACCAGTGCTTACAACTGGAGATGGTGTTCCTGTTGCAGACGGTAGACTTGTGGTTACTACTGGAGATGGACCTTCAGTTGCAGAAGGTGGACCAGTACTTACAACTGGAGATGGTGTTCCTGTTGCAGAAGGTAGATTTGTGGTTACTACTCGAGATGGTCCTCCAGTTGCAGAAGGTGGACCAGTGCTTACACCTGGAGATGGTGTTCCTGTTGCAGACGGTAGACTTGTGGTTACTACTGGAGATGGACCTCCAGTTGCAGAAGGTGGACCAGTGCTTACAACTGGAGATGGTGTTCCTGTAGCAGAAGGTATATTTGTGGTTACTACTGGAGATGGTCCTGCAGTTGCAGAAGGTGGACCAGTGCTTACACCTGGAGATGGTGTTCCTGTTGCAGACGGTAGACTTGTGGTTACTACTGGAGATGGACCTCCAGTTGCAGAAGGTAGACCAGTGCTTACAACTGGAGATTGTGTTCCTGTTGCAGACGGTAGATTTGTGGTTACTACTGGAGATGGTCCTCCAGTTGCAGAAGGTGGACCAGTGCTTACACCTGGAGAGGGTGTTCCTGTTGCAGACGTTAGACTTGTGGTTACTACTGGAGATGGACCTCCAGTTGCAGAAGGTAGACCAGTGCTTACAACTGGAGATGGTGTTCCTGTTGCAGACGGTAGACTAGTGGTTACTACTGGAGATGGGCCGCCAGTTGCAGAAGGTGGACCAGTGCTTACAACCGGAGACGGTGTTCCTGTTGCAGAAGGTTGACTTGTGGTAACTGCTGGAGGTGGTCCTCCAGTTGCAGAAGGTGGACCAGTGCTTACAACTGGAGATGGTGTTCCTGTTGAAAAAGACTGACTTGTGGTTACTATTGGAGATGGTCCTTCAGTTGCAGAAGGTGGACCAGTGCTTACAACTGGAGATGGTCTTCCTGTTGCAGAAGGTATATTTGAGGTTACTACTAGGGATGGTCCTCCTGTCGCAGAAGGTGGACCAGTGCTTACACCTGGAGATGGTATTCCTGTTGCAGACGGTAGACTAGTGGTTACTACTGGAGATGGTCTTGCAGTTGCAGAAGGTGGACCAGTGCTTACAACTGGAGATGGTGTTCCTGTTGAAGAAGGTAGACTTGTGGTTACTACTGGAGATGGTCCTCCAGTTGCAGAAGGTAGACCAGTGCTTACAACTGGAGATGGTGTTCCTATTGCAGAAGGTTGACTTGTGGTTACTGCTGGAGATGGTCCACCAGTTGCAGAAGGTGGACCAGTGCTTACAACTGGAGATGGTACTACTGTTGCAGACGGTAGACTAGTGGTTACTACTGGAGATGGGCCTCCAGTTGCAGAAGGTGGACCAGTGCTAACAACCGGAGATGGTGTTCCTGTTGCAGGAGGTTGACTTGTGGTTACTACTGGAGATGGACCTCCAGTTCCAGAAGGTGGACCAGTGCTTACAACTGGAGATGGTGTTCCTGTTGCAGAAGGTATATTTGTGGTTACTACAGGAGATGGTCCTGCAGTTGCAGAAGGTGGACTAGTGCTTACACCTGGAGATGGTGTTCCTGTTGCAGACGGTAGACTAGTGGTTACTACTGGAGATGGTCCTGCAGTTGCAGAAGGTGGACCAGTGGTTATACCTGGAGATGGTGTTCCTGTAGCAGAAGGTATATTTGTGGTTACTACTGGAGGTGGTCCTCTAGTTGCAGAAGGTGGACCAGTGCTTACACCTGGAGATGGTGTTCCTGTTGCAGACGGTAGACTAGTGGTTACTACTGGAGATGGACCTGCAGTTGCAGAAGGTGGACCAGTGGTTATACCTGGAGATGGTGTTCCTGTTGCAGAAGGCGTACCAGTGCTTATACCTGGAGATGGTGCTACTGTTGCAGAAGGCTGACTTGTGGTTACTGCTGGAGATGGTCCTACAGTTGGAGAAGGTGGACCAGTGCTTACTCCTGGAGATGGTGCTACTGTAACAGAAGGTAGACTTGTGGTTAATACTGAAGATGGACCTCCAGTTGCAGAAGGTGGACCAGTGCTTACAACTGGAGATGGTGTTCCTGTTGCAGAAGGTGGACTAGTGCTTACACCTGGAGATGGTGTTCTTGTTGCAGACGGTAGACTAGTGGTTACTACTGGAGATGGTCTTGCAGTTGCAGAAGGTGGACCAGTACTTACAACTGGAGATGGTGTTCTTGTTGCAGAAGGCTGACTTGTGGTTATTGCTGGAGATGGTCCTCCAGTTGCAGAAGGTAGACCAGTGCTCACAACTGGAGATGGTGTTCCTGTTGAAGAAGGTAGACTTGTGGTTACTACTGGAGATGGTCCTCCAGTTGCAGAAGGTAGACCAGTGCTTACAACTGGAGATGGTGTTCCTGTTGCAGAAGGTTGACTTGTGGTTACTGCTGGAGATGGTCCACCAGTTGCAGAAGGTGGACCAGTGCTTACAACTGGAGATGGTACTACTGTTGCAGACGGTAGACTAGTGGTTACTACTGGAAATGGGCCTCCAGTTGCAGAAGGTGGACCAGTGCTAACAACCGGAGATGGTGTTCCTGTTGCAGGAGGTTGACTTGTGGTTACTACTTGAGATGGACCTCCAGTTCCAGAAGGTGGACCAGTGCTTACAACTGGAGATGGTGTTCCTGTTGCAGAAGGTGGACTAGTGCTTACACCTGGAGATGGTGTTCCTGTTGCAGACGGTAGACTAGTGGTTTCTACTGGAGATGGTCCTCCAGTTGCAGAGGGTGGACCAGTGCTTACAACTGGAGATGGTGCTACTGTTGCAGACGGTAGACTAGTGGTAACTACTGGAGATGGTCCTGCAGTTGCAGAAGGTGGACCAGTGCTTACAACTGGAGATGGTGTTCCTTTTGAAGAAGGTAGACTTTTGGTTACTACTGGAGATGGTCCTCCAGTTGCAGAAGGTAGACCAGTGCTTACAACTGGAGATGGTGTTCCTGTTGCAGAAGGTTGACTTGTGGTTACTGCTGGAGATGGTCCACCAGTTCCAGAAGGTGGACCAGTGCTTACAACTGGAGATGGTACTACTGTTGCAGACGGTAGACTAGTGGTTACTACTGGAGATGGGCCTCCAGTTGCAGCAGGTGGACCAGTGCTAACAACCGGAGATGGTGTTCCTGTTGCAGTAGGTTGACTTGTGGTTACTACTGGAGATGGACCTCCAGTTCCAGAAGGTGGACCAGTGCTTACAACTGGAGATGGTGTTCCTGTTGCAGAAGGTGGACTAGTGCTTACACCTGGAGATGGTGTTCCTGTTGCAGACGGTAGACTAGTGGTTTCTACTGGAGATGGTCCTCCAGTTGCAGAGGGTGGACCAGTGCTTACAACTGGAGATGGTGCTACTGTTGCAGACGGTAGACTAGTGGTAACTACTGGAGATGGTCCTGCAGTTGCAGAAGGTGGACCAGTGCTTACAACTGGAGATGGTGTTCCTGTTGAAGAAGGTAGACTTGTGGTTACTACTGGAGATTGTCCTCCAGTTGCAGAAGGTAGACCAGTGCTTACAACTGGAGATGGTGTTCCTGTTGCAGAAGGTTGACTTGTGGCTACTGCTGGAGATGGTCCACCAGTTGCAGAAGGTGGACCAGTGCTTACAACTGGAGATGGTACTACTGTTGCAGACGGTAGACTAGTGGTTACTACTGGAGATGGGCCTCCAGTTGCAGAAGGTGGACCAGTGCTAACAACCGGAGATGGTGTTCCTGTTGCAGGAGGTTGACTTGTGGTTACTACTGGAGATGGACCTCCAGTTCCAGAAGGTGGACCAGTGCTTACAACTGGAGATGGTGTTCCTGTTGCAGAAGGTATATTTGTGGTTACTACAGGGGATGGTCCTCCTGTTGCAGAAGGTGGACCAGTGCTTACACCTGGAGATGGTGTTCCTGTTGCAGACGATAGACTAGTGGTTACTACTGGAGATGGACCTCCAGTTGCAGAAGGTGGACCAGTGCTTACAACTGGAGATGGTGTTCCTGTTGCAGAAGGTTGACTTGTGGTTACTGCTGGAGATGGTCCTCCAGTTGCAGAAGGTGGACCAGTGCTTACAACTGGAGATGGTACTACTGTTGCAGACGGTAGACTAGTGGTTACTGCTGGAGATGTTCCACTAGTTGCAGAAGGTATACCAGTGCTTACAACTGGAGATGGTGTTCCTGTTGCAGACGGTCGGCTTGTGGTTACTGCTGGAGTTGGTCCGCCATTTTCAGAAGGTTGACCAGTGCTTATAACTGGGGATGGTGTTACTGTTGCAGACGGTAGACTAGTGGTTACTACTGGAGATGGTCCTGCAGTTGCAGAAGGTGGACCAGTGCTTACACCTGGAGATGGTTTTCCTGTTGACGAAGGTTGACTTGTGGTTACTACTGGAGATGGTCCTACAGTTGCAGAAGGTGGACCAGTGCTTACACCTGGAGATGGTTTTCCTGTTGCAGAAGGTAGACTTGTTGTTACTACTGGAGATGGTCCTCCAGTTGCAGAAGGTGGACCAGTGCTTATACCTGGAGATGGTGCCACTGTTGCAGAAGGTTGACTTGTGGTTTCTGCTGGAAATGGACTTGCAGTTGCAGAAGGTGGACCAGTGCTTACAACTGGAGATGGTGTTCCTGTTGCAGAAGGTATATTTGTGGTTTCTACTGGGGATGTTCCTCCTGTTGCAGAAGGTGGACCAGTGCTTACACCTGGAGATGGTATTCCTGTTGCAACCGGTAGACTAGTGGTTACTACTGGAGATGGTTCTGCAGTTGCAGAAGGTGGACCAGTGCTTACAACTGGAGATGGTGTTCCTGTTGAAGAAGGTAGACTTGTGGTTACTACTGGAGATGGTCCTCCAGTTGCAGAAGGTGGACCAGTGCTTACAACTGGAGATGGTGTTCCTGTTGCAGAAGGTTGACTTGTGGTTACTGTTGGAGATGGTCCACCAGTTGCGGAAGGTGGACCAGTGCTTACAACTGGAGATGGTGTTCCTGTTGCAGGAGGTTGACTTGTGGTTACTGCTGTAGGTGGTCCTCCAGTTGCAGAAGGTGGACCAGTGCTTGCTCCTTGAGATGGTGCTACTGTTGTAGAAGGTAGACTTGTGGTTACTTCTGGAGATGGACCTCCAGTTGCAGAAGGTGGACCAGTGCTTACAACTGGAGATGGTGTTCGTGTTGCAGAAAGTATATTTGTGGTTACTTCTTGAGATGGTCCTCCAGTTGCAGAAGGTGGACCAGTGCTTACACCTGGAGATGGTGTTCCTGTTGCAGACGGTAGACTTGTAGTTACTACTGGAGATGCTATTTTAGTTGCAGAAGGTGGACCAGTGCTTATACCTGGAGATGGTGCTACTGTTGCAGAAGGTTGACTTGTGGTTACTGCTGGAGATGGTCCTCCAGTTGCAAAAGGTGGACCAGTGCTTACACCTGGAGATGGTGTTCCTGTTGCAGATGGTAGACTAGTGGTAACTACTGGAGATGGTCCCCCAGTTGCAGAAGGTGAACGAGTGCTTACTCCTGGAGATGGTGCTACTGTTGCAGAAGGTCGGCTTGTGGTTACTACTGGAGATGGACCTCCAGTTGCGGAAGGTGGACCAGTGCTTACTCCTGGAGATGGTGCTACTGTTGCAGAAGGTAGCCTTGTGGTTACTACTAGAGATGGTCCTCCAGTTGCAGAAGGTGGACCAGTGCTTACAACTGGAGATGGTGTTCCTGTTGCAGAAGGTAGACTAGTGGTTACTACTGGAGATGGTCTTCCAGTTGCAGAAGGTGGACCAGTGCTTACAACTGGAGATGGTGTTCCTGTTGCAGAAGGTAGCCTTGTGGTTACTACTAGAGATGGTCCTCCAGTTGCAGAAGGTGGACCAGTGCTTACAACTGGAGATGGTGTTCCTGTTGCAGAAGGTAGCCTTGTGGTTACTACTAGAGATGGTCCTCCAGTTGCAGAAGGTGAACCAGTGCTTACAACTGGAGATGGTGTTCCTGTTGCAGACGGTAGACTAGTGGTTACTACTGGAGATGGTCCTGCAGTTGCAGAAGGTGGACCAGTGCTTACAACTGGAGATGGTGCTACTGTTGTAGAAGGTAGACTTGTGGTTACTACTGGAGATGGTCCTCCAGTTGCAGAAGGTGGACCAGTGCTTACAACTGGAGATGGTGTTCCTGTTGCAGAAGGTAGACTAGTGGTTACTACTAGAGATGGTCCTCCAGTTGCAGAAGGTGGACCAGTGCTTACAACCGGAGATGATGTTCTTGTTGCAGAAGGCTGACTTGTGGTTATTGCTGGAGATGGTCCTCCAGTTGCAGAAGGTGGACCAGTGCTTACTCTTTGAGATGGTGCTGATGTTGCAGGAGGTAGACCCGGTGTTGTTTCCGATGATGGTCCCCTCGTTGTAAAAGGTGAAACAGTATTTACAACTGAAGATGGTGTCTCTGTTCCAGAAGTTTGAGCTGTGGTGATATCTTCTGATGGTCCTCCAGTTGTAGAAAATGGACTAGCGCTTACAACTGGAGATGGTGCTACTGTTGGAGAAGGTTGACCTGTGGTTACTACTGGAGATGGTCCTCCAGTTGTAGAAGGTGGTCCGGTACTTACACCTTGAGATGGTGCTATTGTTGCAGGAGGTTGACCTGTTGGTTTTGCAGTAGATGGTTCTCTAGTTGCAGAAGGTGGACCAGTGCTTACACCTGAAGATGATGTTCCTGTTGCAGAAGGTAGACTTGTGGTTACTACTGGAGATGGTCCTCCAGTTTTAGATGGTGGCCCTGTGGACACTTTTGTAGATGGTGCTACTGTTGAAGAAGGTTGAAAAATTAAAATAATACAACCAAGGATATTTGATTGTTTTTATTGAACCATTTACTCGTTTTAGTAAAATTGTCTGATATTAATTGAAAAACAAATGACAAATCTTACTCATTTATTATTTATTTTATTAGATTCCTTCTATTTGCATATTCAGACGATTTGAAGTCATACTTATTACTGAATACTCATTTGCTTTTCCGGGTGTTAAATGAAATTCATTGTATACTGGTTCGTTCAAAATATAAGTAGAGTAGATTATTTTCAGTTCATAATTTGATAACATACCAATAAAACAGGCATTGAGTTTGACGTCTACATAGTACGGTTGATTAGGATTATTCTTTGCCAATAGTGTAATGATAACTTTGTCTGCAAATACACCAGAGGGGAATGTTGCTATTTCGTCTCCATTGTAAACCTTGAATGCAGACAAATATTATTATTATTATTATATAAGTTAAACAGATAAAACAGATATTCACTAACAACACGATTGACTAATCAACTATTCATTATTTACACCAAGTATAAATGGAAAGAGGACTTCAACTTTTACTGAATGGCCGTCTTTTAAAAGAAGTTCAATGTATTTTTCGTGCATGTATGTGCGGGCGGGGGGGGGGGGGGGGGGGGGGGGGGGTTCTCGCTCAGAAAAAGACAAACAGAACATTTGTTTTTACCAACATACAGGAAGGAAAAATGTATTGTTTTCATCATTGTCTTTGCCAATTTTCAATTGAAATAAACTATTTTGTTCAGGCTTCTGAAAAAATTGTATGTTTTCAAAAAAATATGGAATCAAACAATTTATTAAAAGCAAGTAAAAGGTGACACTGCGAACTGCTACTCCCCAGAGCTGCACATTTTTTTTTCGGGGAGCATAAAAACCCAAGCCCCATAAAAGTTGAAAGAAAATATGGAACATTATAAACTTGCGAACACGATGACAACAGCGAAGAACTCCTTTGTATACACGGAACTACAAAATACCAAAATAATGAAACTATGGGCTCTACGGAACTTAGTCTGTATCGCACACTTTGAATCTGGATGGAAAAAATGAAAGGTATTATAATGGTGAATTAGACAAATATACTGAAAGGCTTTTAAAAAAAGGGTGCTAACATTTAGGTCACTGTACGACCTTAAACAATGAGAAAACCTCATACTGTATACTTAGCTATAAAGACCAAAGGATGGTAAAATATTACTATTCTCCAATGAAAAGAGAGGATATGTAACATCGATTGCTTGCCATTGCAGATAACTAATCCCTTTGAAACCAAATTAAATAATGGAATTTTTTTTAGCTAGCTATAAAACCAGGTTTAATACATCATTTTCTACATAAGAAAATGCCTGTACCAAGTCAGGAATATGACAGTTGTTTTCCATTCGTTTGATGTGTTTTAGCTTTTGAGATTGCCATTTCATAAGGGACTTTCCGATTTGAATTTTCCTTGGAGTTCGGTATTTTTGTTAATTTACTTTTTTATACACAGAATAAACAAGAATTCTATGAACTTAACCTTATCTTTCAATACGTCCAAATTAAATGAACTACCGATTCTTATCATTGCAAAATAACATATATAAATGAACTCTGAACCTGAATTATATATATAAAAGAAGATGTGGTATAATTGCCAATGAGACAACTCTCCACAAGAGACCAAATGACACAGAAATTAACAACTATAGGTCACCGTACGGCCTTCAACAATGAGCAAAGCCCATACCGCACAGTCAGTTATTAAAGGCCCCGAAATGACAATGTAAAACAATTCAAACGAGAAAACTAATGGCCTAATTTATGTACAAAAAATGAACGAAAAACAAATATGTAACACATAAACAAACGACAACCACTGAATTACAGGCACCTGACATGGGACAGGCACATACATACACAATGTGGCGGGGTTAAACATGTTAGCGGGATCCCAACCCTCCCCCTAACCTGGGACAGTGGTGTAACAGTACAACATAAGAACGAACTATACAAATCAGTTGAAAGAGGCTTAACTCATCAGATGGATAAAAATACAAATAACACAAATACAAGTGGACGTACAAACAACAAAAAGACACTAAGTACAGATCTGAGAGTACTCGCAGTTACTGATAGCTAGTTCAAAGCCACTAACAACTAATAAAAAAAATCATGCTTTTAAGACTAAATTATCAATCCGCACACATCCAACATCCAATGGATTTAGTTTAAAGACGTCATAAAACAGTCAGAGAAAAACATGACCTTGTGCAACGCCAAGATACAGGTATCGACAGATTGTAGATCCATGAATGTGTATATGTATATAACAATACTATTTAGTTTGCTTTTAATTTACTGATAACAAAATCAATATTAGTACCAATGAAAACAATATTTAATGATCTAATTACAGTGTTGAATTGGTAACCTTTTAGAATAAGTTTATTTAAAGGATTGATAAGTTTACCAGGATCGTTTCTAAATTTCCGGGCACGGTAAACAATATTGCCGTAAAAAGGAGGATATGCAATCCCGTTTGAAATAAGTTTTCTACAGGTACAACCAAACTTCAAAACCAAATCTTTATATCTGTGGAAGAATTTAGTAAAGGTTTTAAGTAATTTGTGGTAACGAAATCCCTGGCTTAATAATTTACCAGTAATACATAGATTACGTTCGTTAAAATCAAAAACGTCAAAACAGACACGGGCATAGCGAACGAGTTGTGAAATATAAACACCGTAAGATGGTGCCAAAGGAACATCACCATCCAAAAAGGGAAAATTAACAACAGGGAACGAAAAATCGTCCCTTTTGTCGTAAACTTTAGTGTGGAGTCTCCCGTATAAAACCGAAATATCTAAATCTAGGAAAGGACAGTTGTTACCGTTTAAATTTGATTTATTTAAAGTAAGTTCCTTTGGGTAAATATTGGCAGTATATTGAGAAAATTCTTGATTATTTAACGAAAAAATATCATCAAGATAACGGTAAGTGTTGTTGAATTTATCAGTTAAATGCAATTTAGACGGGTCTTTACTGAGTTTGGTCATAAACTGTGATTCATAACAGTACAAAAACAAGTCTGCTATTAAAGGGGCGCAATTAGTGCCCATAGGAATACCTACAACCTGTCGATAGACTTTGCTGCCGAAACGTACATAAATATTATCAAGGAGAAAATTAACAGCTTCAATCATCTCATCACACCTCCAGTAAGTATATCTAGCATATTTACCTTTCTCATTAGAGAAGAAGGCTTTAAATGAGTTGCAGAAAATATATTTGCATTCAGATTTACCAAACGACCATTTACTTAAAAAAATAGTCAAATTTTTGTTTGATAAGATTGTGTGGAAGTGTAGTGTAAAGAGTAGAAAAGTCAAAACTGTCAACAGAATCAAAAGGACCATCAAAAGCACGTAATTTATCTAAAACATCCAAAGAATTTTTTACACTCCAAAAATAGTTAATTCCACTATTTTCATATATTTTATTACAATAGTTTATGATAAGCTTTTTGATAGTAGTTAAGGAACTTGTTAAAAGCACTGACAGATTAGTTGTAGAACACTTACTAGAGGCCGAGATGAAACGATATTCTACTGGTTTTTTGTGTAGTTTAGGTAACCAATACATAGTAGGGACCTTCAAATGTTCAGAAGAAGCCTTAAGCTGTGGTGTGGTTATGATGTTTGTTAACTATATGACTCTCTGTGAGGCGCATGGACTTGAATGTAGATGAATTTAAAATTTCAATCTTAAGAACGTCCGTGTAGTATTTACGGCATACCACCACCACATTGTTGGCTGCTTTGTCGGCCGGTACAAACACAAACCGCTTTGAAAGTTCTTGAAGTTTATTTCTCATTCTGGAAATAGGCGTATTATGTACTCTATTATTTACTTCTAAATTATTTTCAAAATGTGATATTCTATTATCTACCACATTCATACATTTATTTAAATAAGAATCAAGAGATTTTTTATCAGATTTTTCCCGTTTACACCAATTTTTACAAAACGAGGAAAGAGCATCTTTGGTGACCTGACGACACTGTTTCCAATCTATTTTAGATGGAGGCTATCAATTGAGCTGAAAACTGTCTTTAAACTGGTTAAATGTTAATCCACGGATTTAAAAAGTAACAGGTAGGACAATTGGCTCAAAAATCATCATCAGCAGTCAAGTACAAACAAAGCAATACGAAACAAGATTAAACCGTATCAACAAATGCTCGCATTAAATGAATGTCAGATCAAAACACTTGAACTACTGATGTTAAATTATGTTATCTGACAGTCTAAGATCAGATGGTGTTTTGTCAATGAAATTTCAAACCGCTTTGTCATTAACAGTTCAGAAGGACGCGATCTTATGAAATTCCAATAACAAGTAGTATCTAGTCATAGCAGTGTGAGCACAGCTCTCGCCAAAATAAAATGGACTTCCAGCAAGCAGGTCTTGATAAAATACGAACAAAACACTATGTGACGATATTCTGAGAGTAATTCAACTCTCACGCGCAAAACTAGAAATTAGCAAAGATGTTGGTTTGGCATTGGTCCCAGATGCATGTTTCAACGTCGAGATGGTGCAAACAGAAATCGAAATTGTCGTTTTTGTCTGCAACTATAATTTATATATTTGGCGGAGACAGTTTTATGGTGTGGGGAGCATATCCTACTAACTAATAACGCATATGTTTTATATTTCGGGAAACTTTACTTTGTTAGGGTATCATGAAAATGAACACTTCATGTTCTGCCACCTTTCGATACAATCGAAGAGGAAGATTTTTTCAGCACTACCTGAATTTTACAAATCCATTACTTTAGAACATTTTTCTTTTTTTTTGGGGGGGGGGGGGTTGAATGTTTAGGAACGAATTGACTTACCTTTCCAATCTGGTGTGGTAATATATCTTTAGAATCTTGTACACTGACAATGTATGTATTTACATTACTTTCATTAGAACTCGGGTAAATTTCTACACTTCCTAACTCTGGTTTCTGTCTAAGCAAAATAGATATCGTAGGGTTTTCACTCTTTTCGTCGAATATGATTAATAAATCTCCTCCAGGTCGAATTTTCTCTATATCGTTTTGTGTTGGAACATTTATTTCAATACTTCCGTCAGGAATTAATGCAGGACTTGACATACCATCGACTGAATCGCATGGTGTTGCTGTAAATTAAAACAATTTGTCTATAATATCATCAATTAAATAAGAATTCAATCCAATCTTAACAAATTCACTGCAAATTGCTCTCATCCATACAATTTTACAATAACAGGTGTTTATTCATTATGCCCGATATTCTTATTTTCGACAAGGCATGAATAAATCATGGAGTCCGATAAGTTCGAAAATTATTTACAAACGCCAATGTTTTTATAAATACTGGAAATTTTTCAAACGTTTCGGGCTACAGGATTCATTCCTCGTATTTGGAGTTCAACAACGAGTATTTTTATTTCAACTTCTGTCATCAGTTTCAGCCGACGAAGTTAACGCTAGTACTAAGGGTTGAAACGTAGTACTAATTTCTGAATAGCTGTGTGATTGAACATACAAACCATCAACAGAAACGAAAAAGGAACACTTTTTTAGTTGATACACGTCTTAAAATGTATGAATTAATGGAAATATAGTACATAAAATGTGCCGGAGGCGAGCAGATGCTGATATTTATATTATCAATCTTTCATTCAATGTTGAAAAGGGAATAGACCAAAACTAATAACTATTCAAAACACTTTATTTCAATAACTATAAATAAAATACGAACAAAGAATCAGAGTTATTCTTGAGAGTGATATGTTCCTTAATTCAAAAGCAATTATCATTAAAACAATATCCGTTTATACACTTCTTAGTCGTTGTAAATAAAGGATTGACATATAAACGCAGCGGTCCACCAAATGACCGACTAACAGTTAACAGTTAAATGAAATAGAGCTAACAGTTATATGAAATATAACTTCTATAATTTACCATTATCTAAAGGCAAAAAAGATGGCAACTATATCAATCTTTTATAATAATTAAACGTTTTGCCGAAAGAAGAGGAAAAACATAATTCAAAGTTTTATTAAAGTGTTTCGGTTCCGGGAGAGTGCTTCGCATTACGTTGTTCCGGTAGTTGAATGTATTTCATCATGAGATAATGCAAAGCACTTGATATCTTTTGGGGGTAATTTCAATAAACTGTTGACACAGAAAAATGTCTTGCAATTTGCTATTTCGAAGGTATAATGTTGAAAATAAAATGGCATTTTTTAAACGTGAAGTATGCAAATCATTTAAAGTCAATGAACCATGACTGAAGGTGCAGGGCCGAATAAACTCTATGGAAATGAGAAATGCCAATGCTTATAAAACTGCATACCAAATATATTTGAGCTATCATAGTCGGTCCCTATAAACTAACCTAAACACAAGCTTTAACTTGTAAACTATGTTAAAGTCAATGAACCATGATTAGGGGGGTTGCCATATAATCTCCATTGAATTGAGACTTATTAATGCCAATACAACTGCATACCAAATATCATTGACTAAACATTAGTCGCTCATCTTAAACGGACATAATCACAAACTTATACATGTTAAGAACCAAATGTTTCAATATACCATGACTGAGGGGGAAGGAACAAAATAATATCATTGGAAATCAGAAGTGCAAAGGCTTATACAACTGCATAACTAATATCGTTGACCTATCACTAGTGGTTCCCCATAAACTGATCTAATCACAAACTAATACATGTTCACTAAGCACAAGTTTCATCGTCAATAGACCATGACTGAGGGGATGAGGCCAAATAATCATGCTAGAGACCTAGAGTTTTTGAAGTCAAATATATTATCTTTAAAAAGATCAAAAACCAATATTTAAGATACCAGAGTAGCAATTACAAATAACTTAAACGTCTGAGTTTAAAATATTTGTTGGAACACTATGTACAATGATTTCTGTCCTATGGTCGGTACGGGTGTGAAAATACGCACTGTCAAACAGAAAATGTCATATAAAACACATTTAAAATGCTATATTATTCTTCAGCTATCTACAAATCAGTTGTATTGCACAATAACTTTTATTCACAGGGGCCATGAAATCAGCATATTAATGTCAATTCAAGTGTAATATCTCGTTCAATACAGATACGAATACTAAACAGACTTAATTTATAGGCTTCAAATCTTTACCTGTTGCTGTAGTCAAGGAAGGTATAATCGAATTTGCAAGTGGTTCTGAAGTCATTATATGTGGACCTGTTGTTAAAGATGACGTTCTTGGTAGATCACAGACAATCAATTCAATCATATCAATGGACACATCATTGTCTTCAACTCCAGTAAAGGAAATTTTTAATACTTTCGCAGCGTCATAATTCAATAATGTATTTTCATTACTGCTAATCATGACCTAAAAAATCATACCAAATTAGGTCTAAAAATGTCAGAAAATGAAGATTTTGAATAGTGGTCTCTAGTAAGCATAACATTTTCAACATTAACGAATTTTCAATTGCAGATAGTAAAAACATTTTAATTGAATCTTTTTTGCAATTTGCTAACCCTAAAAAGGGTATATTAAATCATTTTACACGGAGGTTTAGATAATTGGCGATTTCTATCGAAAATTTCATATAATTTCTAATTTATATAGAATAGTACAAAAACACCTTTTTTCAAAAAACTAAAATCTGTATTCAATTTCTATCTAAAATACTTTCATACACTTACCGTTTTGATCACGTTTGTGATTTCATCTATATAAGTCAATGTAATCTCCTGAATATTGTCTCCATTCACATTGATTGACATAAGTCTTGATACTTGGGTAAGTGAAATAGTTAATGTCGATGATGACTGTACAGTTAAACTTCGATTATCATCCGAGTTTTGAAGACCAATTAAAGCGTCAGCTGATATTATCTCATCGTCATATGATATTGACAGACCAACTCCTGAGTCTTCCATCAAATTAATAGATGGGCATTCCTCCGGTGCAGGTGATGGCGTCGGTGTCGCCATTGAAGTTGATTGTCCTTCTGTTGGACCTGTCGATGGTGCTGTTGTTGTACTCGGTGCACCTGAAGTTGAACCCGATGGTCCTGCTACCGTTGAAGATGTTGTTCCTTCGGTTGCACCTGTCGTCGATGGAACTGCTGTAGTAGATGGTGGTCCTCCTGTTTGACCTACTAGTGGCACTGTCGTTATACTTGGTAAACCTGTGATTCCACTAGTCATCGGAGGTCCCGATGTAGCTGATGAAACAGTGGTTGGACCTGCTGAGGTTGACTGTTCACATGCAATTAATTCTATCTTATCAACAGAAACATCAATGTCCTCATTCGATGCAGTAAAAGAGATTTCTATTTCTCCGGCTATGTCATAGTTTAATGGTGTCACTTGATTTGCAACAGCAGTTACCTGGAAAGAGTATAATAACACTGCAGACATTTTATTAACGTTGCATTATGTATTATTGGAGGCAATTTTTCTCATTAACGTTTTATTTTGGTCTAACAGACATATGTTAATAAAACCTTGTGACAAATATTATAATAAAACCTTGTTACTAATATAATTAATATTAATAATAACCTTCTTCAACTAATTTTCTTAAGATTGTGTTTTAGTCGGTTGGCATACTCGATTGCTGTTGATATTTTTTCTCTATTTGTACTAGTAAAATGAATTTAATTCTCAAACAACCAGTTTGATTGTAGCATTACCCGAAAAGTCTGTACATAAAACCGTTAATTCTTTTAAGAGTTTTTTCAGATATTTTCTAATCATCAGTTCAATACTGTTCAGACTTTAGACTTGTATTCAATCCAGTACTGTTCACTAGCATTTGGGACAATTCAAAGCTTTGTATAATTGAACAGGTACATTACAACTTTTAAACAGAACTAAATTTGACTGAACAAATCTTAATTGACTGCAAGCGATGTGTCTGAACAGTATTCAGTTTCTAGTGGTGGTTAAAGGAGACATGACACGATTTTCAATTTGTGTTTCAAAATGTTTATTTATACTTAACTTTCCCCAAAAATACACTAATAGAAATATAAGTGTCCACTATTTGGTAAAATATGTCTTTTAATGAGATTTAATGCAACGATTGATCGACCTGTCAAATATGCATATTTCCATCCCGGAAGTCGCTCAGAACGAGGCTACTACGTCAGTGGTTACATTCATTCATATTGACATATGGGTACAGCACAAATTTAGATTCGATTATTATCCAACAAAACGCATGACAGTGATAAACAATGATTATGTGTGATGCCGATGGATTCAACAATATAATTAAAAAGAATATTGACATGATATTTTATGTTTTTCGAATGGCACGCAGACTTAGAAGGTGTAAAGATGAGACTTTTTAACAAGAATAAAACTACACTTCTTTCCGCCCACTTTCATAAGGAATCCAGAGTTGGGGTCTCGTGTGCTATGCCATGAGTTCATCATGGGTCACAGGTGTACGGTACAGATGATTGAGTTTCGCAATTTCAGGTCTCGTTTGAAGTTGCAAACTTCAGGTGTCACGCCACATGGGGGATTGATAAGACATAGTTATTACGCAATATTACTTCATAAGCTCTTTGTGTACATCCTGGATGTTGGTTTTGCCGAGGGCACAATTGAGATTGGAATATATTATAGTAATACAGGTACAACTACCTGATCATATGTTTAATGAACACCTGCTGTACGACCATACAATACCTTATGCACCACCAATTAAATACCCTAACCAGTGTTGATAACTAATCGACAACCTGTATATAGATCTTTTTTTTATTGCTTTTAAGAATATGCAGATATAAAAAGGTTTATAACAGATGCATTTTTTTAATTGACTTCTTGAGATGGAAAAGTAATATTCCTGTATGCTTGCAAGTCTATCACTTCAAAAGAAATTGTTAGACAAAAAACATAAAAGCAAATAAGGAAATGATACGAGAATGTGAATCATAAGTCTTTTACATTCTTTTCTGCTGTTTGGTCGGGTTGTTGTCTCTTTAACACATTCCCCAATTCCATTCTCAAGTTTATTATATTGAACATCGAATATAATTATTTACAACTATTTAGTTGGTAAAGATTCAGATGATGAAAAACATTTCTTTTTAAAATCGAAACTTTATAATAAATGAAGAAAGTGTCGTTTACCGTAAGGCCTCCAACAGTGAGAAAACCCCATACCGTATATTCGGCTATCAAAGTTCTCAACGTGAAAATGTGAAACAATTTTAACGAGAAAACTAACTTATTTATAACAAAATAATTTCCGCAGAAAAAAATGTAAGCTAGATCAAAACCAAGTACAGCTAATACACAACTCATGTTCTCAAAGACTGAAGTATGTTACATGTAAACATTTTCCTGCTCAGTCCGATTGAAAATCTAACATTTATTCAAATGACCCCTTTTAGAAGAAATATTTTGAAAAAGAACATTATGTGTTGCGAATATGTTCATGGGCTCAAGCGTTTTGCTGGTAGCAATAAACAAACTGATTGCTAAATGATATTGGAAAGAGAGGGGTGGAAATAAGTGAATTTGAATTTACTTTGTGTAATTCTTTAAATTTGAAGTTAGATTTATAAGGGTCTGGATGGAATAGCATACTTTAGAAGTTTAGTATAACTATATTAATTATTTCAACATAAGATAGTTTTTCTTAAAAATGTATGGTTTTAAAAGGTAAATAACATAACACGTAGATCACACTACAGGTGCCTTCTTACCTTTCACATGGTCAAGTATGCTATAGGTGTCAACATATAATCACTAAAACAACAGCCTCCAATAAATGTTTTGTTTTGTGTAATTTTATACATAAGGTGAGACGTAAATATTGAATTGAATTGTTTACATTAAATTGTTAATTGAATATCCTAATGCAGAAACAGTGTGATTAAGGATTTTTCACTATACAAATCATTTGTGTGTCGCATGGTTTCCAACCAAAAAAATTCTAAGCATAACTTTTGGTGATAATTTATACCTATTAAAAGTCTAAGTAAAAAAAAAAAAAAAAAAAAACACACAAAAAAACGGACACTAAACACTGCTAAGGTTTCCTTAGTGCACTAGGGACTTATGATATGCCACTAAGGACTAGATGGGGTGTTATTACCTTTAATGTCTTTTCATATTATGGTAGATATTGATATGTAATGCATAAATTTCAAATGTTATAGAAAAATAATCACAAATAAATGAGTTATTCAACATTGTGTAGACACGTGTCTTTTTTTCTTTGATATGCCGAAAATCAATGAACCGTTAGACACGTGTCAAATTACATAACTGATTACACGGGAATCCTGCTATCTGTTGTGTACAATCGACAATATTGGAGAAGTTGGATACTAATAAATGAATTGTTTTCAGAATATATTTCAGTGATCAATTTTGATTTGACTCGCACTGAATAAGTTGTTAAAATTTTATTCATGTTTTTTTTTCAGATTCGCAAGAGTATTTTGTAATTATTTCTTGTAAATAATAGATTTGTTTCCAGAGCAATTTATATAAATTTATTTTCATTTATGAAGACGTTAAGCAATGTATTACTGGACAAAACGAAATCAATAAGATAATAAATCTTTACTACATGCAACCACACTAATTTCATATATGAACTGTTTGGGCAGAGATTATCTTATGCGTTTTCTATGGTTCATTTTCAAAATTTTTATCATATGAAGAACACGTTTGAGCAATATATTTGTGGACAAAAACGAATTCAATATGATAATAAATTTTTACTACATGCAACCAATATAAGAAAGAAGATGTGGTATGTTTGGCGATGAGACAACTCTTCACAAGAGACAAAATGACACAGAAATTAATAACTATAAGTCACCGTACGGCCTTAAAGCACATACAACATAGTCATTATTTCATACAATATCTTAAACAGACAATTTGGTTAAAAAAATACAAATCGGATTATCTTCTGACATACTTGTTCTTCTTAAAGAAAAAATAGATTTAAAGAAAATATTTCTGTTGGTTTTGTTTCAAGGATTTGTATAGTAATATACTTTACAAATCCTTGTTTTTTTCATTTTTACACGTGATAGATTTAGGTATAAAGTATTCAAATTATCTTGTATTACAAAAAATGATTATTTTCACATCATGAAAAAGCATATTTACAAGGCATTCGTACGAAGCATAACCTTTTTATGTCAAAATTATATCTACAGCTCTAAATTAACACATACGGGATAATTTTCGTAAATAATGTGCTAAAAACTGTGGAACATTTAAAAAAAACATTTGTCTCCTTTATATATTTGAAAATGAAACTTAAAAGTTCGATAATGATATTTAAACTTCTTATACTTTTAGAAAAAAAAAAATGTCGAACAATTACAAAAAAATAATACGGTATGAAGCCTTTGTAAACAGCTATCAAACTTGTTTAAAACTAGTGGTTTTGAATAACCCCAAGGACGTCACATGATTTTTTTTTTCAATTCAATCGTAATTCGTACTAAGTATGAAGCAGTAATAGAAAGTGGAGAAGCAAAAACCAGGTTTTGATAGTTTTTTTTCGGAATTTACTCATAAATTTTAATGAAACACGCATCTTTGTCGGAATTAAAATTAAAACAAAAAACTTATAAATATATCTATTCCTTTTGTCTTGGTATCTCTAAATATTACTTCCATGCTCTTACATAAACATTTAACAAGCTGACCACACTCTTAACTTATTATAGTTGGCGTACATCAAAGTCGTGCACAAATGGCAAATAACTTTGTCGAGAAAGAAATAAAAAATAAATAAAATTATTTGTCCTTTTAATCATTGCAAATAAGAACAACATATTTAATTATAAATTATTAAGCATTAATCTTTTCGATACAATTGTTAATAAAAAGATTATGATTGTTTATTCAGTTGTTATGTTATATGGCACGTGTCAATCGGTTCACTGATTTTCGGCATATCAAAGAAAAATGGGCACGTGCTTAAACAATGCTTAATAACTCGTTTATTTGTGATTATTTTTCTATAAAATTTTAAATTTATGCATTAAATATCAATCTCTAACTTAATATGGAAAAAAAATACATGTAACAGCACCCCATCTAGTCCTTAGTGGCATAGTGTACGTCCTTAGTGCACTAAGGACTCCTTAGCAGTGTTTAGACGTACCGCTTTGCGAACGCCTATTTTGACTTTTACTATCGTTTTTTTCTGCTTCTGGCGCACACATAATTATAACATTACCGTAACAGAGAAAACAGAACAATTTGATCATCAATAATTAGAAATTTATATTTTCAATCATGATTAAAAGTAGTTTTATTTAAATAGAAAAAATAAAAAAAATGGAGAAAGCGGTCTATTAAATTTATTCATCAGACAAACCAAATATGTATGGTAACAATCCGATCGGTATTGTCTGAAAAATCGTCGTTGTTGGACTCTTCGCATGAAGAATTAATATCCTTTTCTTGGTTATTTTCCACACACAATGGCTCAAATTGATGAAGTCAATTGTCTTTATAGTTTGTCAGTAATCGGGAAAAGTGCTGTCAATACCGTCCATAGTGTTTCGACATCGTCCAGTTAGAGACATTTTCCCAGCTTGTAACCACAGACGTAAGCACGATCACGTGATCGTTATCTAATTAAAAATCATTCATTATGCAGGCGCTGGATTCTTTGACCAGAAAAATGCCGATTCATCAGGTTTTGACCAGCAAATTTGTACAAAACATGTTTTAAGACTAATATTTATCATTTTAATAAAAAAATAAAAAAAAAAAATCGTGTCACGTCTCCTTTAAGTCTGACGATTTACAGAAAGACTCAACATGAGTTATCAATGCATTGTTTAATATTTTAAGACCTTTTCAGATCAAAATGGCTACTTAAGTTCAAATAGATTAATTAGTGTAGGTAATCAATAAGACAGAAAATGCCATCCAAAAAACAGCATTTAAGATTTGTATTCAAATACTTTCTGCAATGATTGCCCATACGTACCGTTTTTATCTGGTTTGTGATTTCATCTGTATAAGTCAAAGTAATCTCCTGAATATTGTCTCCATTCACATTGATTGACACAAGTCTTGATACCTGGGTAAGTGAAATCGTTACGGTCGATGACGGTGTTACAGTTAGTTTTCGATTATCATCCGAGCTTTGAAGACCAATCAAAATGTCAGCTGATATTATCTCATCGTCATATGTTATTGACAGACCAACTCCTGCGTCTTCCATCAAATCAATAGATGGACATTCCTCAGGTGCAGGTGATGGTGTCGGTGTCGCCATTGAAGTTGATGGTCCTTCTGTTGGACCTGTCGATGGTGCTGTCGTTGTACTTGGTGCACCTGAAGTTGAACCTGATGGTTCTGCTACCGTTGAAGATGTTGTTCCTTCTGTTGCACCTGTCGTCGATGGAACTGCTGTAGTAGATGGTGGTCCTCCTGTTTGACCTACTAGTGGCACTGTCGTTATACTTGGTAAACCTGAGATTCCGCTTGTCATCGGAGGTCCCGATGTAGCTGATGAAACAGTGGTTGGACCTGCTGAGGTTGACTGTTCACATGCAATTAATTCTATCTTATCAACAGAAACATCAATGTCCTCATTCGATGCAGTAAAAGAGATTTCTATTTCTCCGGCTATGTCATAGTTTAATGGTGTCACATGATTTGCAACAGCAGTTACCTAGAAAGAGTATAATAACACTGCAGACATTTTATAAACGTTGCATTATCTATTATTGGAGGCAATTTTTCTCATTAACGTTTTATTTTGGACTATAAGACATATGTTAATAAAACCTTGTGACCAATATTATAATAAAACCTTGTTACTAATATAATTAATATTAATAATAACCTTCTTCAACTAATTTTCTTAAGATTGTGTTTTAGCCGTTTAGCATATTCTATTGCTGTTGATATTTTTCTCTATTTGTACTAGTAAAATGAATTTAATTCTCAAACAACCAGTTTGATTGTAGCATTACCCGAACAGTCTGCACATAAAACCGTTAAGTCTTTTAAGAGTTTTTTCAGATATTTTCTAATCATCAGTTCAATACTTTTCAGACTTCAGACTTGTATTCAATCCAGTACTGTTCACTAGCATTTGGGACAATTCAAAGCTTTGTATAATTGAACAGGTACATTACAACTTTTAAACAGTACTAAAATTGACTGAACAAATCTTAATTGACTGCAAGCGATGTGTCTGAACAGTATTCAGTTTCTAGTGGTGGTTATGTCTGACGATTTACAGAAAGACTCAACATGAGTTATCAATGCATTGTTTAATATTTTAAGACCTTTTCAGATCAAAATGGCTACTTAACTTCAAATAGATTAATTAGTGTAGGTAATCAATAAGACAGAAAATGCCATTCAAAAAACAGCATTTAAGATTTGTATTCAAATACTTTCTGCAATGATTGCCCATACGTACCGTTTTTATCTGGTTTGTGATTTCATCTGTATAAGTCAAAGTAATCTCCTGAATATTGTCTCCATTCACATTGATTGACACAAGTCTTGATACCTGGGTAAGTGAAATCGTTACGGTCGATGACGGTGTTACAGTTAGTTTTCGATTATCATCCGAGCTTTGAAGACCAATCAAAGTGTCAGCTGATATTATCTCATCGTCATATGTTATTGACAGACCAACTCCTGAGTCTTCCATCAAATCAATAGATGGACATTCCTCAGGTGCAGGTGATGGTGTCGGTGTCGCCATTGAAGTTGATGGTCCTTCTGTTGGACCTGTCGATGGTGCTGTCGTTGTACTCGGTGCACCTGAAGTTGAACCTGATGGTTCTGCTACCGTTGAAGATGTTGTTCCTTCTGTTGCACCTGTCGTCGATGGAACTGCTGTAGTAGATGGTGGTCCTCCTGTTTGACCTACTAGTGGCACTGTCGTTATACTTGGTAAACCTGTGATTCCACTTGTCATCGGAGGTCCCGATGTAGCTGATGAAACAGTGGTTGGACCAGCTGAGGTTGACTGTTCACATGCAATTAATTCTATCTTATCAACAGAAACATCAATATCCTCATTCGATGCAGTAAAAGAGATTTCTATTTCTCCGGCTATGTCATAGTTTAATGGTGTAACTTGATTTGCAACAGCAGTTACCTGGAAAGAGTATAATAACACTGCAGACATTTTATTAACGTTGCATTTTCTATTATTGGAGGCAATTTTTCTCATTAACGTTTTATTTAGGTCTAAAAGACATATGTTAATAAAACCTTGTGACCAATATTATAATAAAACCTTGTTACTAATATAATTAATATTAATAATAAACTTCTTCAACTAATTTTCTTAAGATTGTGTTTTAGCCGTTTGGCATATTCTATTGCTGTTGATATTTTTTCTATATTTGTACTAGTAAAATGAATTTAATTCTCAAACAACCAGTTTGATTGTAGCATTACCCGAAAAGTCTGCATATAAAACCGTTAAGTCTTTTAAGAGTTTTTTCAGATATTTTCTAATCATCAGTTCAATACTTTTCAGACTTTAGACTTATATTCAATCCAGTACTGTTCACTAGCATTTGGGACAATCCAAAGCTTTGTATAATTGAACAGGTACATTACAACTTTTAAACAGTACTAAAATTGACTGAACAAATCTTAATTGACTGCAAGCGATGTGTCTGAACAGTATTCAGTTTCTAGTGGTGGTTAAGTCTGACGATTTACAGAAAGACTCAACATGAGTTATCAATGCATTGTGTAATATTTTAAGACCTTTTCAGATCAAAATGGCTACTTAAGTTCAAATAGGTTAATTAGTGTAGGTAATCAATAAGACAGAAAATGCCATTCAAAAAACAGCATTTAAGATTTGTATTCAAATACTTTCTGCAATGATTGCCCATGCGTACCGTTTTTATCTGGTTTGTGATTTCATCTGTATAAGTCAAAGTAATCTCCTGAGTATTGTCTCCATTCACATTGATTGACACAAGTCTTGATACCTGGGTAAGTGAAATCGTTACGGTCGATGACGGTGTTACAGTTAGTTTTCGATTATCATCCGAGCTTTGAAGACCAATCAAAGTGTCAGCTGATATTATCTCATCGTCATATGTTATTGACAGACCAACTCCTGAGTCTTCCATCAAATCAATAGATGGGCATTCCTCAGGTGCAGGTGATGGTGTCGGTGTCGCCATTGAAGTTGATGGTCCTTCTGTTGTACCTGTCGATGGTGCTGTCGTTGTACTCGGTGCACCTGAAGTTGAACCTGATGGTTCTGCTACCGTTGAAGATGTTGTTCCTTCTGTTGCACCTGTCGTCGATGGAACTGCTGTAGTAGATGGTGGTCCTCCTGTTTGACCTACTAGTGGCACTGTCGTTATACTTGGTAAACCTGTGATTCCACTTGTCATCGGAGGTCCCGATGTAGCTGATAAAACAGTGGTTGGACCTGCTGAGGTTGACTGTTCACATGCAACTAATTCTATCTTATCAACAGAAACATCAATGTCCTCATTCGATGCAGTAAAAGAGATTTCTATTTCTCCGGCTATGTCATAGTTTAATGGTGTAACTTGATTTGCAACAGCAGTTACCTGGAAAGAGTATAATAACACTGCAGACATTTTATTAACGTTGCATTATCTATTATTGGAGGCAATTTTTCTCATTAACGTTTTATTTCGGTCTAAAAGACATATGTTAATAAAACCTTGTGACCAATATTATAATAAAACCTTGTTACTAATATAATTAATATTAATAATAAACTTCTTCAACTAATTTTCTTAAGATTGTGTTTTAGCCGTTTGGCATATTCTATTGCTGTTGATATTTTTCTCTATTTGTACTAGTAAAATGAATTTAATTCTCAAACAACCAGTTTGATTGTAGCATTACTCGAACAGTCTAAACATAAAACCGTTAAGTCTTTTAAGAGTTTTTTCAGATATTTTCTAATCATCAGTTCAATACTGTTCAGACTTTAGACTTGTATTCAATCCAGTACTGTTCACTAGCATTTGGGACAATTCAAAGCTTTGTATAATTGAACAGGTACATTACAACTTTTAAACAGTACTAAAATTGACTGAACAAATCTTAATTGACTGCAAGCGATGTGTCTGAACAGTATTCAGTTTCTAGTGGATATTAAGTCTGACGATTTACAGAAAGACTCAACATGAGTTATCAATGCACTATTTAATATTTTAAGACCTTTTCAGATCAGAATGGCTACTTAAGTTCAAATAGATTAATTAGTGTAGGTAATCAATTAGATAGAAAATGCCTTTCAAAAAACAGCATTTAAGATTTGTATTCAAATACTTTCTGCAATAATTGCCTATACGTACCGTTTTTATCTGGTTTGTGATTTCATCTGTATAAGTCAAAGTAATCTCCTGAATATTGTCTCCATTCACATTGATTGACACAAGTCTTGATACCTGGGTAAGTGAAATCGTTACGGTCGATGACGGTGTTACAGTTAGTTTTCGATTATCATCCGAGCTTTGAAGACCAATCAAAGTGTCAGCTGATATTATCTCATCGTTATATGTTATTGACAGACCAACTCCTGAGTCTTCCATCAAATCAATAGATGGGCATTCCTCGGGTGCAGGTGATGGTGTCGGTGTCGCCATTGAAGTTGATGGTCCTTCTGTTGGACCTGTCGATGGTGCTGTCGTTGTACTCGGTGCACCTGAAGTTGAACCTGATGGTTCTGCTACCGTTGAAGATGTTGTTCCTTCTGTTGCACCTGTCGTCGATGGAACTGCTGTAGTAGATGGGGGTCCTCCTGTTTGACCTACTAGTGGCACTGTCGTTATACTTGGTAAACCTGTGATTCCACTTGTCATCGGAGGTCCCGATGTAGCTGATGAAACAGTGGTTGGACCTGCTGAGGTTGACTGTTCACATGCAATTAATTCTATCTTATCAACAGAAACATCAATGTCCTCATTCGATGCAGTAAAAGAGATTTCTATTTCTCCGGCTAAGTCATAGTTTAATGGTGTCACTTGATTTGCAACAGCAGTTACCTGGAAAGAGTATAATAACACTGCAGAAATTTTATTAACGTTGCATTATCTATTATTGGAGGCCATTTTTCTCAATAAAGTTTTATTTTGGTCTAAAAGACATATGTTAATAAAACCTTGTGACCAATATTATAAAAAAAAACTTGTTACTAATATAATTAATATTAATAATAACCTTCTTCAACTAATTTTCTTAAGATTGTGTTTTAGCCGTTTGGCATATTCTATTGCTGTTGATATTTTTTCTCTATTTGTCCTTGTAAAATGAGTTTAATTCTCAAACAACCAGTTTGATTGTAGCATTACCCGAACAGTCTGCACATAAAACCGTTAAGTCTTTTAAGAGTTTTTTCAGATATTTTCTAATCATCAGTTCAATACTGTTCAGGCTTTGGACTTGTATTCAATCCAGTACTGTACACTAGCATTTGGCACAATTCAAAGCTTTGTATAATTGAACAGGTACATTACAACTTTTAAACAGTACTAAAATTGACTGAACAAATCTTAATTGACTGCAAGCGATGTGTCTGAACAGTATTCAGTTTCTAGTGGAGATTAAGTCTGACGATTTACAGAAAGACTCAACATGAGTTATCAATGCATTATTTAATATTTTAAGACCTTTTCAGATCAAAATGGCTACTTAAGTTCAAATAGATTAATTAGTGTAGGTAATCAATTAGATAGAAAATGCCTTTCAAAAAACAGCATTTAAGATTTGTATTCAAATACTTTCTGCAATAATTGCCTATACGTACCGTTTTTATCTGGTTTGTGATTTCATCTGTATAAGTCAAAGTAATCTCCTGAATATTGTCTCCATTCACATTGATTGACACAAGTCTTGATACCTGGGTAAGTGAAATCGTTACGGTCGATGACGGTGTTACAGTTAGTTTTCGATTATCATCCGAGCTTTGAAGACCAATCAAAGTGTCAGCTGATATTATCTCATCGTCATATGTTATTGACAGACCAACTCCTGAGTCTTCCATCAAATCAATAGATGGGCATTCCTCGGGTGCAGGTGATGGTGTCGGTGTCGCCATTGAAGTTGATGGTCCTTCTGTTGGACCTGTCGATGGTGCTGTCGTTGTACTCGGTGCACCTGAAGTTGAACCTGATGGTTCTGCTACCGTTGAAGATGTTGTTCCTTCTGTTGCACCTGTCGTCGATGGAACTGCTGTAGTAGATGGTGGTCCTCCTGTTTGACCTACTAGTGGCACTGTCGTTATACTTGGTAAACCTGTGATTCCACTTGTCATCGGAGGTCCCGATGTAGCTGATAAAACAGTGGTTGGACCTGCTGAGGTTGACTGTTCACATGCAACTAATTCTATCTTATCAACAGAAACATCAATGTCCTCATTCGATGCAGTAAAAGAGATTTCTATTTCTCCGGCTATGTCATAGTTTAATGGTGTAACTTGATTTGCAACAGCAGTTACCTGGAAAGAGTATAATAACACTGCAGACATTTTATTAACGTTGCATTATCTATTATTGGAGGCAATTTTTCTCATTAACGTTTTATTTCGGTCTAAAAGACATATGTTAATAAAACCTTGTGACCAATATTATAATAAAACCTTGTTACTAATATAATTAATATTAATAATAAACTTCTTCAACTAATTTTCTTAAGATTGTGTTTTAGCCGTTTGGCATATTCTATTGCTGTTGATATTTTTTCTATATTTGTACTAGTAAAATGAATTTAATTCTCAAACAACCAGTTTGATTGTAGCATTACCCGAAAAGTCTGCATATAAAACCGTTAAGTCTTTTAAGAGTTTTTTCAGATATTTTCTAATCATCAGTTCAATACTTTTCAGACTTTAGACTTATATTCAATCCAGTACTGTTCACTAGCATTTGGGACAATCCAAAGCTTTGTATAATTGAACAGGTACATTACAACTTTTAAACAGTACTAAAATTGACTGAACAAATCTTAATTGACTGCAAGCGATGTGTCTGAACAGTATTCAGTTTCTAGTGGTGGTTAAGTCTGACGATTTACAGAAAGACTCAACATGAGTTATCAATGCATTGTGTAATATTTTAAGACCTTTTCAGATCAAAATGGCTACTTAAGTTCAAATAGGTTAATTAGTGTAGGTAATCAATAAGACAGAAAATGCCATTCAAAAAACAGCATTTAAGATTTGTATTCAAATACTTTCTGCAATGATTGCCCATGCGTACCGTTTTTATCTGGTTTGTGATTTCATCTGTATAAGTCAAAGTAATCTCCTGAGTATTGTCTCCATTCACATTGATTGACACAAGTCTTGATACCTGGGTAAGTGAAATCGTTACGGTCGATGACGGTGTTACAGTTAGTTTTCGATTATCATCCGAGCTTTGAAGACCAATCAAAGTGTCAGCTGATATTATCTCATCGTCATATGTTATTGACAGACCAACTCCTGAGTCTTCCATCAAATCAATAGATGGGCATTCCTCAGGTGCAGGTGATGGTGTCGGTGTCGCCATTGAAGTTGATGGTCCTTCTGTTGTACCTGTCGATGGTGCTGTCGTTGTACTCGGTGCACCTGAAGTTGAACCTGATGGTTCTGCTACCGTTGAAGATGTTGTTCCTTCTGTTGCACCTGTCGTCGATGGAACTGCTGTAGTAGATGGTGGTCCTCCTGTTTGACCTACTAGTGGCACTGTCGTTATACTTGGTAAACCTGTGATTCCACTTGTCATCGGAGGTCCCGATGTAGCTGATAAAACAGTGGTTGGACCTGCTGAGGTTGACTGTTCACATGCAACTAATTCTATCTTATCAACAGAAACATCAATGTCCTCATTCGATGCAGTAAAAGAGATTTCTATTTCTCCGGCTATGTCATAGTTTAATGGTGTAACTTGATTTGCAACAGCAGTTACCTGGAAAGAGTATAATAACACTGCAGACATTTTATTAACGTTGCATTATCTATTATTGGAGGCAATTTTTCTCATTAACGTTTTATTTCGGTCTAAAAGACATATGTTAATAAAACCTTGTGACCAATATTATAATAAAACCTTGTTACTAATATAATTAATATTAATAATAAACTTCTTCAACTAATTTTCTTAAGATTGTGTTTTAGCCGTTTGGCATATTCTATTGCTGTTGATATTTTTCTCTATTTGTACTAGTAAAATGAATTTAATTCTCAAACAACCAGTTTGATTGTAGCATTACTCGAACAGTCTAAACATAAAACCGTTAAGTCTTTTAAGAGTTTTTTCAGATATTTTCTAATCATCAGTTCAATACTGTTCAGACTTTAGACTTGTATTCAATCCAGTACTGTTCACTAGCATTTGGGACAATTCAAAGCTTTGTATAATTGAACAGGTACATTACAACTTTTAAACAGTACTAAAATTGACTGAACAAATCTTAATTGACTGCAAGCGATGTGTCTGAACAGTATTCAGTTTCTAGTGGATATTAAGTCTGACGATTTACAGAAAGACTCAACATGAGTTATCAATGCACTATTTAATATTTTAAGACCTTTTCAGATCAGAATGGCTACTTAAGTTCAAATAGATTAATTAGTGTAGGTAATCAATTAGATAGAAAATGCCTTTCAAAAAACAGCATTTAAGATTTGTATTCAAATACTTTCTGCAATAATTGCCTATACGTACCGTTTTTATCTGGTTTGTGATTTCATCTGTATAAGTCAAAGTAATCTCCTGAATATTGTCTCCATTCACATTGATTGACACAAGTCTTGATACCTGGGTAAGTGAAATCGTTACGGTCGATGACGGTGTTACAGTTAGTTTTCGATTATCATCCGAGCTTTGAAGACCAATCAAAGTGTCAGCTGATATTATCTCATCGTCATATGTTATTGACAGACCAACTCCTGAGTCTTCCATCAAATCAATAGATGGGCATTCCTCGGGTGCAGGTGATGGTGTCGGTGTCGCCATTGAAGTTGATGGTCCTTCTGTTGGACCTGTCGATGGTGCTGTCGTTGTACTCGGTGCACCTGAAGTTGAACCTGATGGTTCTGCTACCGTTGAAGATGTTGTTCCTTCTGTTGCACCTGTCGTCGATGGAACTGCTGTAGTAGATGGGGGTCCTCCTGTTTGACCTACTAGTGGCACTGTCGTTATACTTGGTAAACCTGTGATTCCACTTGTCATCGGAGGTCCCGATGTAGCTGATGAAACAGTGGTTGGACCTGCTGAGGTTGACTGTTCACATGCAATTAATTCTATCTTATCAACAGAAACATCAATGTCCTCATTCGATGCAGTAAAAGAGATTTCTATTTCTCCGGCTAAGTCATAGTTTAATGGTGTCACTTGATTTGCAACAGCAGTTACCTGGAAAGAGTATAATAACACTGCAGAAATTTTATTAACGTTGCATTATCTATTATTGGAGGCCATTTTTCTCAATAAAGTTTTATTTTGGTCTAAAAGACATATGTTAATAAAACCTTGTGACCAATATTATAAAAAAAAACTTGTTACTAATATAATTAATATTAATAATAACCTTCTTCAACTAATTTTCTTAAGATTGTGTTTTAGCCGTTTGGCATATTCTATTGCTGTTGATATTTTTTCTCTATTTGTCCTTGTAAAATGAGTTTAATTCTCAAACAACCAGTTTGATTGTAGCATTACCCGAACAGTCTGCACATAAAACCGTTAAGTCTTTTAAGAGTTTTTTCAGATATTTTCTAATCATCAGTTCAATACTGTTCAGGCTTTGGACTTGTATTCAATCCAGTACTGTACACTAGCATTTGGCACAATTCAAAGCTTTGTATAATTTAACAGGTACATTACAACTTTTAAACAGTACTAAAATTGACTGAACAAATCTTAATTGACTGCAAGCGATGTGTCTGAACAGTATTCAGTTTCTAGTGGAGATTAAGTCTGACGATTTACAGAAAGACTCAACATGAGTTATCAATGCATTATTTAATATTTTAAGACCTTTTCAGATCAAAATGGCTACTTAAGTTCAAATAGATTAATTAGTGTAGGTAATCAATTAGATAGAAAATGCCTTTCAAAAAACAGCATTTAAGATTTGTATTCAAATACTTTCTGCAATAATTGCCTATACGTACCGTTTTTATCTGGTTTGTGATTTCATCTGTATAAGTCAAAGTAATCTCCTGAATATTGTCTCCATTCACATTGATTGACACAAGTCTTGATACCTGGGTAAGTGAAATCGTTACGGTCGATGACGGTGTTACAGTTAGTTTTCGATTATCATCCGAGCTTTGAAGACCAATCAAAGTGTCAGCTGATATTATCTCATCGTCATATGTTATTGACAGACCAACTCCTGAGTCTTCCATCAAATCAATAGATGGGCATTCCTCGGGTGCAGGTGATGGTGTCGGTGTCGCCATTGAAGTTGATGGTCCTTCTGTTGGACCTGTCGATGGTGCTGTCGTTGTACTCGGTGCACCTGAAGTTGAACCTGATGGTTCTGCTACCGTTGAAGATGTTGTTCCTTCTGTTGCACCTGTCGTCGATGGAACTGCTGTAGTAGATGGTGGTCCTCCTGTTTGACCTACTAGTGGCACTGTCGTTATACTTGGTAAACCTGTGATTCCACTTGTCATCGGAGGTCCCGATGTAGCTGATGAAACAGTGGTTGGACCTGCTGAGGTTGACTGTTCACATGCAATTAATTCTATCTTATCAACAGAAACATCAATGTCCTCATTCGATGCAGTAAAAGAGATTTCTATTTCTCCAGCTATGTCATAGTTTAATGGTGTCACTTGATTTGCAACAGCAGTTACCTGGAAAGAGTATAATAACACTGCAGAAATTCTATTAACGTTGCATTATCTATTATTGGAGGCAATTTTTCTCAATAAAGTTTTATTTTGGTCTAAAAGACATATGTTAATAAAACCTTGTGACCAATATTATAAAAAAAAACCTTGTTACTAATATAATAAATATTAATAATAACCTTCTTCAACTAATTTTCTTAAGATTGTGTTTTAGCCGTTTGGCATATTCTATTGCTGTTGATATTTTTTCTCTATTTGTACTAGTAAAATGAATTTAATTCTCAAACAACCTGTTTGATTGTAGCATTACCCGAAAAGTCTGCACATAAAACTGTTAAGTCTTTTAAGAGTTTTTTCAGATATTTTCTAATCATCAGTTCAATACTGTTCAGGCTTTAGACTTGTATTCAGTCCAGTACTGTACACTAGCATTTGGGACAATTCAAAGCTTTGTATAATTTAACAGGTACATTATAACTTTTAAACAGTACTAAAATTGACTGAACAATTCTTAATTGACTGCAAGCGATGTGTCTGAACAGTATTCAGTTTCTAGTGGAGATTAAGTCTGACGATTTACAGAAAGACTCAACATGAGTTATCAATGCATTATTTAATATTTTAAGACCTTTTCAGATCAAAATGGCTACTTAAGTTCAAATAGATTAATAAGTGTAGGTAATCAATTAGATAGAAAATGCCTTTCAAAAAACAGCATTTAAGATTTGTATTCAAATACTTTCTGCAATAATTGCCTATACGTACCGTTTTTATCTGGTTTGTGATTTCATCTGTATAAGTCAAAGTAATCTCCTGAATATTGTCTCCATTTACATTGATTGACACAAGTCTTGATACCTGGGTAAGTGAAATCGTTACGGTCGATGACGGTGTTACAGTTAGTTTTCGATTATCATCCGAGCTTTGAAGACCAATCAAAGTGTCAGCTGATATTATCTCATCGTCATATGTTATTGACAGACCAACTCCTGAGTCTTCCATCAAATCAATAGATGGGCATTCCTCGGGTGCAGGTGATGGTGTCGGTGTCGCCATTGAAGTTGATGGTCCTTCTGTTGGACCTGTCGATGGTGCTGTCGTTGTACTCGGTGCACCTGAAGTTGAACCTGATGGTTCTGCTACCGTTGAAGATGTTGTTCCTTCTGTTGCACCTGTCGTCGATGGAACTGCTGTAGTAGATGGTGGTCCTCCTGTTTGACCTACTAGTGGCACTGTCGTTATACTTGGTAAACCTGTGATTCCACTTGTCATCGGAGGTCCCGATGAAGCTGATGAAACAGTGGTTGGACCTGCTGAGGTTGACTGTTCACATGCAATTAATTCTATCTTATCAACAGAAACATCAATGTCCTCATTCGATGCAGTAAAAGAGATTTCTATTTCTCCGGCTATGTCATAGTTTAATGGTGTCACTTGATTTGCAACAGCAGTTACCTGGAAAGAGTATAATAACACTGCAGAAATTTTATTAACGTTGCATTATCTATTATTGGAGGCAATTTTTCTCAATAAAGTTTTATTTTGGTCTAAAAGACATATGTTAATAAAACCTTGTGACCAATATTATAAAAAAAACCTTGTTACTAATATAATTAATATTAATAGTAACCTTCTTCAACTAATTTTCTTAAGATTGTGTTTTAGCCGTTTGGCATATTCTATTGCTGTTGATATTTTTTCTCTATTTGTACTAGTACGAGGGTTGTCCGTAAAGTTCGTGGACAAGCTGAAGTCTGCGTAAAAATAGCATTTCAGGTAAATTCTTTTTGCATATTTGTAATCCTGAACTATATCCTAGTTCGGTTATATCAATATTTGTCCAATTTTCAATGCGAAATAAAAACACTTACTTCATATAAATATAAGCAATAGGGACCCGGAGCACCGCGAAAATATCACATAACATGCAGGCTGGTGTTTTCATATTTTTGTTATTTTAAGTTTCAAAATCCGCCAAAATATACATGAAACTTACATTGTGACGTCGACAATAGTCTTGACGTTACACCTGCTAAATTTGAATGGTCAAAATTTCGAAATGGCGGAGAAATCTCGATTTGAAGCATTGAATCCAGAATCGGC